CCTTTTGTAACCTTTCCACCAAAGTGCTGCCCCCTGATCAGCTCTACGACTTTCGCGGCCAGCCTATGCGCTCGAAGCTCATCTCGCTTCACCTTATTCACACCCTCCTTAACAACAACATTGCCGTCTTCACTTCTCCTCTATGTACCATTACGAACTCCAAAAGCAACGAGCCCACGACCTTTCTTCAAGCAGTCAAGTTCTATTTGTGTCTTAGCATAACGCGCAACGGTGCCAGCTCCGTCGACCGCGTGTTCGATGTCTGCTGCGAGATTTTCTGGTTGATGCTCAAGTATATGAGAGAGTCCTTCAAGGTTGGTGCTCAGATTCTCTCCGTGCTCCTTGTCATGGTGCTAACATGCCTCCAAGCTGGAAATTGCAGTATTCCTCAACGAAATTTATCTCGCCCTATTGGCACGGCGGACAGCTCCCATCTCTCAAAAGGTGTACGTCGTCAACATCTTGAACAGGTTTTGCGCGGATTCGAAGGCCTTGGTGGAGACGTATCTCAACTACGACTGCGAGCGCAGTGTCGACAACATTTTCCAGACCATTATCGAGGACTTGTCCAAGTTTTCAACAGCGTCAGTTCCTGTAACGCCCGTTCAAGAGCAGCAATACGAGGAACGAAGCGCAAAGAGCACGTCAGCAGGCGAATGGCAGCTAAGAGCCATCCTACCACCGCCCCTTTCCGTCGCACAAATCACGCCTCATACCGAACCCGAAAATGAGATTCCCAAAGAGTACGTCATGAAGCGGGTGGCTCTGGACGCCTTAGTGGATTCTCTGAGGTCAATGGTGGATTGGTCCGCCGCTGTGCGGCAAGACACCAACGGCGTGAGGCCAGATGGCGAAACGAGAACTTCCGAAGATCTACGTCCTTCGATTGATCCGAGCATGTACGACAATCCGTCTCGCTTCGAAACCCCTGCGCCCTCGACGCCCGTCATGGAGGACGATCCGGCGTCGCTGGAGAAGGCCAAGGCGAGGAAGACGGCCATGAACAACGCCATTAAGCAGTTCAACTTCAAACCCAAGAGGGGCATCAAGCTGCTGATCGAAAACGGCTTCATTCCGAGCGACAGCCCACAAGATATCGCCAAGTTCCTGCTTACCGAAGAGCGTCTAGACAAGGCGCAGATTGGCGAATACCTGGGAGAAGGCGACCCTAAGAACATCGAGACCATGCATGCTTTTGTCGATGCCATGGATTTCACCAAGAAGAGATTCGTCGATGCGTTGCGGACATTCCTCCAGTCCTTCCGACTCCCCGGAGAGGCGCAAAAGATAGATCGTTACATGTTGAAGTTTGCTGAGCGCTACGTGATGGGCAACCCGAATGCATTTGCTAACGCCGACACGGCCTATGTTCTTGCTTACTCTGTCATTATGCTCAACACCGATTTACACAGCAGCAAAATCGCCAAACGCATGAGCAAGGAGGAATTCATCAAGAACAACCGCGGCATCAACGACAATGCTGACTTGCCGGACGAGTACCTGCTGGCCATTTACGATGAGATTGCGAGCAACGAGATTGTTCTCAAGAGTGAACGTGAGGCGGCGGCTGCGGCTGGCACTGTCCCACCACCATCGACTGGAATTGCTGCTGGACTGGGCCAAGCGCTGTCGAACATGGGCCGAGACCTGCAACGAGAAGCCTATCTACAACAGTCGGAAGAGATTGCGTTACGGTCAGAGCAGCTCTTCAAGACTCTCTACAAGAACCAGAGACGGAACGCCCAGCGGTCTGGTGTCAGGTTCATTCCCGCTACTTCTTTCCAACATATCGGCCCCATGTTCGATGTCACATGGATGTCGTACTTCTCAGCCTTGTCCAGCCAGATGCAGAAGACGCATAATCTTGAGATTAACAAGCTATGCCTTGAGGGAATGAAGCTTGCAACAAAAATTGCATGCGTTTTCGACCTCTCAACGCCCCGGGAGGCCTTTGTTTCCGCGCTCAAGAATACCACCAACCTGAACAACCCGCAGGAGATGATGACCAAGAATGTCGAGGCCCTTAAGGTCATCCTTGAGCTCGGACAGACTGAAGGCAACGTTCTGAGGTCATCATGGAAGGATGTCCTCATGTGCATCAGTCAACTTGATCGCCTACAGCTCATCACAGGCGGCGTGGACGAGAGCGTTGTTCCCGATGTGTCCAAAGCTCGGTTCATGCCTCCACAGCGGGAAAACACTAGCGACTCAAGATCTTCCACGCAGTCCAAGAGGCGAGGAGGCCGCCCAAGGTCTGGAACCGGCCCGCAGGGCTTCTCCAGCGAAATTGCTTTGGAGAGTCGATCCGACGAGGTGATCAAGGCAGTCGACAGAATATTTACCAACACGGGCAATCTGAACGGAGAGGCTATCGTCCACTTCGCAAAGGCCTTGACAGAAGTCAGTTGGGATGAGATCAAGGTGTCTGGTTCCAACGACTCTCCACGAACTTACAGTCTGCAGAAGATTGTTGAAATCGCCTACTACAACATGACGCGTGTGCGTTTCGAATGGAGCAACATTTGGGACGTGTTTGGAGACCACTTCAACCGGGTGGGATGCCACAACAACATTACCATTGTCTTCTTTGCCTTGGACTCGCTTCGACAGCTGTCAATGCGGTTTATGGAGCTTGAGGAATTGGCTGGTTTCAAGTTCCAAAAAGACTTCCTCAAGCCCTTTGAACACGTTCTCGCAAACTCCCAAAACATTGCTGTCAAGGACATGGTATTGCGTTGCTTGATCCAAATGATCCAAGCCAGAGGTGACAACATCCGCTCTGGATGGAGGACAATGTTTGGTGTCTTCACGGTAGCTGCCCGCGAGACAAACGAGAGCATTGTGAACCTTGCATACGAGAACGTAACACAGGTCTATAAGACCAAGTTCGGTGTCGTCATCTCACAAGGTGCTTTCACCGACTTGATTGTGTGCTTGACCGAGTTCTCCAAAAACATGAAGTTCCAGAAGAAAAGTCTGCAGGCGCTTGAGAGCTTGAAGTCAATCATTCCCCGTATGCTCAAGACGCCTGAATGCCCGCTGTCTCAAAAGGGACAAAACGCCGCTGGAGAACATACAGCATCAGCAGCGGACACACTGCAGAGATCACAGAATCGGACGTCAGTAGAGGAGGGATACTGGTTCCCGGTTTTGTTTGCCTTCCACGACGTGCTGATGACGGGCGAAGACCTCGAGGTACGGTCGAACGCGCTCGAGTATTTCTTCGAGGCCCTCCTCAAGTACGGCGGCGAGTTCCCACCAGACTTTTGGGATATCCTCTGGCGCCAGCAGCTTTACCCCATCTTCATGGTGCTGCGGTCGCGACCGGATCTCAATAATGCACTCAATCACGAGGAGCTGTCTGTCTGGCTCTCCACAACCATGATTCAGGCACTCCGGAACATGATCACACTATTCACGCACTACTTTGACGCATTGGAGTATATGCTGGACCGCTTCTTGGAACTACTAGCCCTCTGTATCTGCCAAGAAAACGACACTATTTCCAGAATCGGCAGCAACTGTTTGCAGCAGCTTATCCTGAAGAACGTCACCAAGTTCACAACAGAGCACTGGGCCAAGATCGTGGGGGCGTTCTGCGAGCTGTTTGCACGCACGACTGCTCACCAGCTGTTCTCCGCGACCACCATCAACTCGACAGCATCCATCGATATGCCGCCCAACGGATTAGAGTTCTCGGGCCCTCTGAGTCCTACCGAAGCATCAATGGAGGAGGACAATCTCAAGATCAACGGAACGGAAAAGAACGGCGAGAACTCTGACAGCAACTCAAGTGATGCAAACCTCGGAAGCATCAACGAGGATGACCTGAAGACGCCGACCGCTCCAGTCGCACCCCAATCCCAACCCCCGCTAGAGGAGTTCAAGCCAACGTCAAACCTGCAGCAGCAGCCAGTCGTGGTCACAGCGGCCCGTCGTCGCTACTTCAACAGAATCATCTCCAGATGCGTGCTACAGCTGCTCATGATTGAGACGGTGAATGAGCTCTTCAGCAACGACACCGTGTACAACCAGATCCCGACATCGGAGCTCCTTCGCCTGATGGCACTGCTCAAGAGGTCGTACCTCTTTGCGAGAAAGTTCAACGCGGACAAGGAGCTGCGCATGCGACTCTGGCGCGAGGGATTCATGAAGCAAGCGCCCAACCTGCTCAAGCAGGAGAGCGGAGCGGCTGCTACGTACGTCGCCATTCTCTTCCGCATGTACGCAGACGACAGCCACGAACGCACGGCGGCGCGCGATGCCATTGAGCAGGCGCTGGTGCCGCTGTGCAAGAGCATCATCAAGGACTTTGTCGGTCTGGAGGAGGATAGCCAGCACCGCAACATTGTCGCTTGGCGACCCGTGGTGGTCGACGTTCTTGAGGGTTATGCGGCATTCCCTGTAGACGCCTTCCAGAAGCACATTAAAGAGTTCTACGTCATGGCTGTGGAGCTTCTCGGCAAGGATCTCACATCGGACCTCAGGACGGCGCTCTTGCTCGTGTTGAGACGCGTGGGCGAGGTCGGTCTCGGTATTGAGGGGATGACCAAGGTGGAAGTGGATCGAAGGGACAGCATCATCAGCAGCGCCACGGAAAACACCGTCGACGGGCCCGAGGGTGACGCCTCGGCGAGAATGAGGCGCTAGATGTTCGTGGAACTTTTGTTTGGAAGGAAACACAAAACATACGGCAGAGAGCACGCACATGGGGATGGCGTAATGGATAGACTGTAGGAGAGGATCATTTTCCAGTGTAAAATTACTCGACCCGGCTCGGATCGTCGAGGGGGTGTTTATTCGCAATTCCGTGTCCATATTTGAGGTATTCTACTCACCGTCCCCCCATATCCTGGTGGGCCTGTGATCGACCAAAGTCGAACTATTATTAACAGAAGCTGTTTTATTCCGTGCTTGCTTGTCATTATGCCCCTTTTTTCCATGATCCCTAAACGCCTATGTTGCTTCTTACTCAAGTCTCGAGGTGTGCGACATGTGCCTTAAGCTAGAACGTCCCTAATGAATGTCCTCAGTGCCTCGGATTCCTCCGGCACAGTCCGATCCGGCAGACTACGAAGAGCGTTCTTCAACAGATTGTCATCTTTCGTCGCCTGCCTCACCAGATCCTTCAAAATACCCATCGTCCGATGCGAGTGCTCCACCACGCGCATGACGCTCAGCAACGTCTCGAAAAAGTCAATGAGGTTCAGGTGCATCAGCGTATCGCTCTTATCCACCATATGCAGCGCGGCCAGCTGAAGGAGACCCGTCTCTGAAGACCCCGTCAGGTCCGGGAACTGCGACACGCCTACTTCGACGATATTGAGGGCCGCTAGGCGGGGGAGGATGCGGAGGATGCGGCCTTGTGCTAGGGAGAGTTGGCGCTCAGTGAGTGTGACTTGCTCGCCTTCTTGTGTGGGGGACGGGTCGACGCCCTTTGCGAGGGAGAGGACGAGGCCGAAGAGTTCTTTATCGTGGAAGATGCGGCGCCACATTCGTCCTTGGCCCGGCGCTCTCCTCTTCACGATTTCACTCGCAGAGGAACTGGGGAGATGACTCGGCGGCGGGAGCTCGCAGTCGACATCGAGTAAATCGCCCAACACGCGTCCCGCGCGCTCGCCAAACTCGACTTGGGGCGCAGACAACCAGCGGCGGAGGAGCTCTTCGACGACGCGGGGCATGAGGGAGAGGATTGCTGCGTCGGAGGGAGAGGCGGATGCTTTGGAGAGGATGGCGAGGGCGAGGAGGTTCGCGTGCGGGGAGGGGGAGCGGAGGGCTGCGAGGAGGGAGGATTCGTCTGCTAGTTGGAGGGTTTTGGTGAAGGGGACGGGGGCGAGGAGCTTTATTGTGAGGGAGACGATCTGTTTTGGGTCGTGGGGGGTTGTTTTGAGGATTGTTGTTAGAGGGGGGAGGAGGCGTGGGAGGAGGGGGGGTGTGTTTGTTTCTGTGAGCGAGGTTGTTAGTTTTTGAGTTGGATGATGGTTTTAAGAGAGTGTTAGAGGCGAGGGAGAAGAAAGGTGAGGATGTGGACTGACCGTTGAGTTGAAGCTCTACATCATCGAGGAGCTTTGGTTCGAGGGGTGTGTCTGGGGAGGTGACGAGGTCGTCGAGATGCTTTTCGAGCTCGGCGAGGCCGGATATGGGGATGGAATTGGCGGACATGTTGGGGACGCTGCGTTCTGTCATCAGTAGGCGGTCGTGATTGCGTTTGTCGTCGATATTGTGTGGTGACAGAGCTGTGGTGATGTTTGCGACAGAGTTGTGAAGCTCGGGAAGCTGTCGATGATGAACGGACTGTGAGCGTTGGAGATGGCGGGGGAAAGAGAAGGAAGGAAGCTCGGTCTAAGGGTCCCCGGACGCTAAGATAAGATAAGCACGAGTGACAGGCTGCTGGGAGTTGCGTGGACCTGCGTGCGTGTAAGAGCCTCGTACCTTAGGTGCCTGTTAGGAAGCCATGAGTGACGAATCTGATGGTCTAATAATTACCCAATGAGTGTAATTATTAATCATGTCACAAGTTATGGATGATCGTATGCCTACGCCGAAGTACAGTCAGGAATTTCGAGCCTCAAGAGGTACCGGAGGGAAGTACCTTAGAGACGGAGCCGAGTTCTGGACGGCGCCGGGGTGACACCGGTGCCTGAAAGCGCCGGCAAGCGGGGCACAGCGCGTCACCCACCACGCTGCAGTGTACCTCACCTCAGGTGCGGGATGGACCCCGCTAAAAAAAAATTCCAAGGCTGCCGATGTACTGCAGCGCCGCCGTCCCAAACCGAACTGCAGCTTGGGGTTTTTTTCTCGGAGACAAAAAAGAGAGGCTGACTCCAACTATCACCAAACACCACGCACCCTCGCTCTGACGCATACTTTGCCTTTCGCATTCCCGACCCAACAACCGCCTTCACAGCTTCAATCGCCAGCTCAATTACAAACCAGAGTCTTTGGATATAACAGAGACAGGCTACAATGTCGCGCGGTGGTAGAGGTGGTGGCCGCGGCGGGCGCGGGGGTCGCCAGGGCCCCCAGCTATCGTGGGACAACGGCGAACACGCACCCGACACACGACCCTCAGAGCTCTTCCCCGTACGCACACGAAGCCAACGATAGATCCTTCAATCCCATGTTTGTAAATCACTAACTGTTGAATCACCAGGCCTACGCAATCCCCACAGCGAAACCCGTCACAGACCACGAACAAGCAAACGTAAACGCCTTCCTCCTCTTCCGCCGCCAATTCCAAGACGGACCCCTCTACACCCGCAAGCGCACCTGGGGCATGGACCCGACAAACACTCGCAAGCTCTACGGCCAAGAACAAGTCAACGCCAAATACGGCGTGCGCACCCGCGCCACGGCGGACCCGTTTAACGCCGTGCCGACCTACTCGCAGAAATTCACCCGTTCCGAGCGCGCACTCCCGGATTTCGGCGGACGGCCGTTTTGTAAAGAGTTCTTCCCGCTGGAGCTGCATGAGACGCTCGACGGGGACGACGTCGCGCCGGGGGAGAAGAGGAGGGGCGGGGAGGCGAAGAGGTTGCGGTTGAGTCGGATTACGGCGCTGCCTACGGCTGAAGAGATGTTTCATGTGAATGCGGAGGGGGATGACGACGGGGAGATCGGGCCGGATGGGGCGAAGAAGAAGTTGGAGGCGCTGGAGAGGATGGGCGAGGCTGAGGGAGAGGGTGGGGAGGAGGAGTGGGAGGAGGGCGGGGAGGAGGAGCAGGATGTTGAGTATGATGACTCTGATGCGGGTGATTACGACGCGGAGAATTACTTTGACGACGGCGAGTTTGGCGAGGATGATGGCGGCGGGGATGATGAGCATGGTGGTCGGGAGGGCTCGTACTGATCTTGGCTACCAACTGAGAGTGTACGCCTACGGCCATGACTGAGGCGACGACGAAGACGGCGAACATGGCAAAGGCGGAGGGATTTGCTTAGAGGCCTTCTTGCTACTACCTCAGACCAATTGTCACCAATGGACGAGACACGAGAGGCATCACCGGGCGTTTTGGGCGGATGAACGGCTTTGCTGAGCGGATTACAGCTCCCTGATACCCAATCAATTAAATACCTTATAACAAGGTTCAGACTATAAAATACAGACACTTTTTTGCAATTCGCAGTATCGTACATTGAAGTACCTAAAGGTGTTCACAATAATTATGTAAACAGAGACAAAAAGACAAAAGCTCAAGTGCCCAGTTCGTGAATCGAACTGGGCACCCTACGAAACCCTCCATCTGAGAAGACTTCTCGGGATTTCATCACCAAGTTCTTTACTAACGGACCAGGGCGTTATACCGCTCGACCATGGGGATCGAGTTGGCTTGGTTGACGAACGAAGCGCTGGACCTGAATGTAAGGGTACTGGACTGTTGCGTATTCGTCTCGTGTATTCCTGTGATGTACGGACCATGAGAACGAATCGCTTAGAGGCATCGGGACGACGGAGATTCATCCTCTTGGTCAAGCTTTGATATTGAATCAGCCTATGCGTCTGGACTATCGAACCGTCTCTCACCGCGCTTGCTTCCCATCAAAGTTGATGCAGACCATATCCATCACATTCTGGGATCTCAATGTCCAAGCATTACAACCTTACGACCCTCAACCGCGGCCACATCTGCCCAATGGTTTTCAATGCTTCATTTCGCCAATGCTGCCGGTATATAATTATTTTCCCCAACCTGAACGCCGTTTGCTTCCCTGGACCGTGGCCTTCCCTTGCATACTATGTATCCACAAGACACTTCCATCTTGATTCTGCTCTTATTTGGTGGGGTATTGGCGCTGGAGCTGAGTGAGCTTTTCCCGTACGTCCACAATACTACCCGCGGCCTCGTAAATCTTGTCACCCATCATCTTGATCGTCTCCAACAGGTCGAGAACCATGTTAAAGGCCGGCACCTGGGTCTGGTCCCGCAGCGATCGCACACGCTCGTAGAGACCGTGCTCAACGCCGGGCATGTGCTGCTCCATCTCCTTAATCTTCTGGACCTGGAACTGGCTGAGTTCCTTCAGCCGGTCGGCCTCGTTGGAGAAGAGGGTGAGAACGTCCTCGAGGTTGCGGTCTTGGTTGCCGTTGGTCGTATTGCCACCCGATCCGCCGCGGGTGAGCCAGGTCTGGTGGTAGTGTGCTGGAAGCTTGAGCTGATCAGCGCCCGCGAACGCCATCTTGGCAATGTCCGCGTCTGACTTGACCAAGTCCTTGAGGTGTCCCAGAGTGACGATATCCTCGTCCAGCGTTGTCTTGACTCCCTCGTACTTGCGCTGGAGCCAGTTGACGTCGTTGGTAAGTTGCGCGAGATCACCGCCGTGGGCGGCCATGAAGCCTCGGATTTCGGATGCGTGCGCCATGAAGCGCTGGATCATGAGGTCGCAGTTCTCCATTTCGGACTGGATCGATTGTTCGAGGTCGTTGAATCGCGTCGTGCCCTTGATATTTGACATGTCTACTCGCACGCCTGGGACGCTTTGTTGCGTCGTCGACTGACCCATAGTTAAGCCGGGAGCAGAGCTACCTGCGGGCTGAGTTTGGCCGCTGTATGTCTTGTTAGTCACTGGTCAGACGCCTTCTACGGGATGCCACTTACAACAGACCGCCGGGCTTCGGCTGATTCTGAGCCTGGCTCTGTCCGAAGAGACCACCACCCGTGCCTTGGTTCTGCTGGGTTTGCTGTGCATTATTGCCGCCGCCAAAGAGACCTCCTCCTGTTGACTGTTGCTGGTGCTGGGGCTGCGCTGTGCTCGCACCAAAGAGACCGCCCGTCGCCGGCTTCGCGGGGGTTGCACCAAAAAGCCCTCCACTCTGCTGCTGCTGAGGCTGTTGTTGCTGTGTCGCAGCCCCTCCAAACAATCCTCCTCCAGTCTGCTGTGCAGGCTGCTGGGTTTGGGCGCCTCCAAAGAGACCGCCGCTACTTTGCTGCTGCTGGGGTTGCTGTGCTGGTGCCGCTCCAAAAAGGCCACCGGTGGCTGGTTGTTGTGGTGTTGAAGGCTTGTTGCCAAAGAGTCCTCCTCCTGCCGTCGAAGTGCCGCCGAAAAGACCGCCCGTAGCAGGCTGTGTCGTCGTCGCCGTCGTCGAGGCTCCAAAGAGTCCTCCGCCACCGCTAGGTGCGGAAGTTGTGGCATTACTGGTGGTGCTAGAAGAATTCGCATCGTTATTAGCTTCCACGGGTCTACAATGAGCAGAACATAGCAAGACTCTTTCAACTCACCCTGCATTGGCGGCACCAGTGTTGATGCTCAAGCCACCAGCCGATCGTCCAAACATCTTGAATTTTTGTTCAAGTGCGCCGATATTGGGTTGTCCAAGTGTGTCCTTGCGAGCCGCGGGCGCGTCGGTCCTCGAAGTCGGAGAGTTGGGTGAAAAAGGTAGCAGTTGGTGATGGCCTTCTCTGGTTGAATTATTTGTTGCTGCTGGTTTCTGCTTCGCGATATTCGACAGGGAAGAATTGGCTGCTGTTTTGGCGCTCGGGCCATGGGCAGCTTCGATAGCTCCAACAGCGAGTGTTGCCTCGTTCGCTTTGGTGGTAAAATGCGACGGTCTTTCATTGGCTAATCGGCGTCGTTTTTGACCGACTACCGGATCCAACTGTGGCTCGTCGAGGTCCATTGCTTGTGGCTGGCGGTTTACCAAAGCATTCCGGTGTGGCACTCGCTGTGGCGCGTGCTGTGGCGTTTGCTGCGGGTGGCGGCCTGGGCGGCCCTTGCTGTGTGGTGCCGCCGTGGCCCTCTCGGTGGTGGTCCCCTCGGCGCGCCAGAGCTTAGAGCTCCAGGCGCCAAACCATTGAATGCAAAGCAACCCGCAAAAGCTGCATCACCAACACCTGCACCTCCATTCCCACCTCTACCCGTACCACCGCCACTCCCTCTCCCTTCTTGAGACATTGCCGACAACATCGTAAGACGTAAATACAGCTAAAATGGACATCGATGAAGACGACGATTTCTACGCGGATGAGCCGTCCACCGAGCAGCCCACTACAAGCACCACAACAGCCGAAAATGCTGCTGCTCCTCCGCAGGAGGCGTCGCCAAAAGTAGAGGCACCAGAGAGCAAATCAGAAGAGCTAGAGGAGGGCGAAGAGGAGGACGAGGGTGGTGCCATGGATGAAGACGAGGATGATTCTGTACATACCCTCCCTACCTTGCACCATCGTTTTGTACTTGTGAATTGGCGACTGACTGTTCTGGCGCTTTCTCCAGGATATCGACATCATCACCGAGCGCAAAGATGGCACAAAGGCTGCACCCCCGACGTACGTCCCAACTTCTGTCCACCTACAAAGACATGAAGCTTTTTTGAGCCTTTGCTCACACAAATAACAGACAATCCCGCTACAGCGACATCAGAAACATCCCACAAAGGTCAGCCTCCAACGACATGGCTATCAAAGCAGCCCCAGTCAGGGAGGAGGATTCCGCGAGAGCCTCACCCTCTGACCTCCCTCTCGGTGTCCCCAGCGCCGACAAGGCTGCTGCCGCGGCTTCCAAATCTACGATTGACGTCAACGCGAATCCCGATTACCCTCCCGTCGGGAAGCCCATCACCGCGGTCAATATTGACGAGGGTAAGAACGGCCACTCGCACCTGCTGCGGTGTCGTGTCGCTAACATTGTCTGCAGACTTGACCGAGAACGAGAAGCCCTGGCGCAAACCCGGTACCGACATCAGTGACTACTTCAACTACGGCTTCGACGAGTTCACATGGGCGCTCTACGCCGCAAAGCAGGAAGCCGTTCGCGGAGAGTTCAGCGGCGACGCCATTGCCGCCGGCCAGAAGAAGATGATGGAGGACTTTGGCATGATGATGATGGGCGGAATGAACATGCCCGGCGGAGGTGCCGCGCCTGGCGCCAACGCGCAGGCTGGAGGCATGCCCGGAATGGGTGGCATGGAAGGTATGCCGCCCGAGATGCAGGCCATGATGCAGCAGATGATGGGTCAGGGCATGGATCCCAGCCAGATGGACCCCTCGCAAATGTCGGCCATGTTCAATGGCATGCAGGGCCAGGCTGGCAACGCTGGTCAAGGCGGGCAGGGACAGAACTTCAACCAGGGCTTTGGCGGAAACCAAGGACAGTACGGAGGCTACGACCAGCAGGGCATGGGAGGCGGCAGCCGCGGCGGATTCGGCCGAGGCCGTGGCGGACGCCGCCAGTGGTAGTCACCCCCTGCGTTCCGTGTATGTTTACAAAGATGTGCTGGTTATGTATGTCCAGCCCGGCCGGCGTTTTGGGAATTCGGTGGTGAGGTCACACATGGTTTGCTAAGGAAAGTTCCGAGAACGGGTCGCGGAACGGCAAAAGCAGGCATAGATACCCTGACAAGTCATCTGGCATTTCTCTCGAGATTCTTGCTTCTATCTGTGTACACAAAGTGATTTGTCCCCATCCGTACAACAGAGCTTGTTTTGCCCTGTCCCTAAATCTGCTTCGATTTGCTTCTAGGAAAGCTTGAGCAGTTTTGTAAGGAATGATTCTCATGAAGGCTTTCTCAATCGACCTCTCTGACCGACACCTCAAAATACATCGGCAGTGATCTCTTTGCCGGTAGCGATGGCCAGCTCAGACCTGTTGACGTAGTGCCGGTTCGCGTAGTCGTCCGCGGCATCCAAGTTGATGCACGTGTGCGATGACACGATGTCCACGTCGGCGCCGCCCCGGGTCTCGTTGAAGGAGTACGTGTTGAACGCGAGGTTGGCGTTGCAGAGAATGTACTGCTTCAGGAAGTCCGCGCAGTGATCTATCAGACTTTGTTAGCTACGTGTCTCTTATCACAGAAGTGGGAATTTCGACATACTAATGTGTGCGTGCTGCCACTTTGGGTCGTTCTTCATCTTCATGTGGTCTTCTTTGTAGTACTCGGGATAGGTTTGCTTCCACATGAGGTGCTTGAGCTCCCGTCAGTCATGTTCACCGAGCGCTTGAGAGGGATGGAGCTCAGAACACTTACCACGCAGTGCAGGGCGTGAACATACTCAAACACGGCCAGAGTACCGTTTTGAGCAGAGGTCGAAGCCCGGAGGGGCTCTCTAGTTCTGAACTCGTTTCTGGGAAAGTCCTCGTCGGGGATGAGCATGAAATGACCTAAAAGGTTGAGTCAGTCTTGCCGTAGTGAGAAAGGAAAGCGGCCACTTACGCTCGTCGATGAGCTTGTCCCAAGCAGCATCCAGCTCCGGAGACGGACCTGAGGTATCGGCCTCCTTGAACATCGTCGGACCTCTGATCTCTTCGAGACTTCCCACATCTGGAGCTTGCATGTTAGCACCGCACTCATGACTTTGCTGAAATATTTCGTACTTGTTCGTTGGTTATGCGAGTGTTTGCTCTGGCGGAAGTGATGAACGCCGGTAGCGGAGAGAAGAGCCACGGAGATCAAGAAAAGAAGCACCTGAGATACGCTGGGTGACCAGGACCGACGACGCGGACTCGGTTCCCGACTCTGTTCCAACTCTTCATCTTGCAGATGAGCATACGCGGATTTCTCGACAGGGCGGACGAGGCCGGCCAGACGGTCAAGACCATTCGGTTGCATTGCGGAAAGCTAGATCTCTGGATTGAATTGAGACGCTCTAATGAGGGAAGTCAGTGTATGGCTTCGCAGAGGAAAGTTTGTACAACAAGAGAATCTGAATTCGTTAAAGAAACCGGGCACTCGGAGACCGTTGGTACGATGACATCCACTTTCATACATGCATCTGTGAGAGCCCCTTTTAAACGAAGGGGCAAGGTCCGGCGCGGGTCGAATTGACTCTGCCGATTCTTGATAACGGTCTTGTTTGCTCATTCTCGTCGATCACGACGACGACGGAAGCTCCTGAAACCTACATCGCTATCATGTTTGCTCCCCGCCTTGGAACTCCTTGGAAGCTATTCGTAAGCGATTATCACGACTTTTGCCCCTTGGCAGATCCCGCCATCGTCACCACCACAGCAAAATCAGGCGGTAAACGCGGGAATCCTTCTTAATCCGACGATAACTCTGACCTCGTCAAAGACTTTTACGGTATGGTTCTGTTCAGGGTGTGATTCCTTCAGCAAATGTTTGTGAGCTGTGATTGGCTTGTTGGAAGTGTTCGTCTGTTGGTTGTTGATTGATGATGACACGTTTTGGTCTTGGACCCTTGCCCCGGTGTTCCGGTGCCGGGACTTGGATGGGGTAGTAGGAGATAAGTATGTGGGTTTCGTGATGTCTGCGCCGCTGGCCATGGAGGGGTTGAGCAAACATCACGACGACAATGCGGTCTATTGACGTGTCCGGGGTTAAGGTGTGAGGGGTGTCTGTCACGATTTGACCCGGACGAGACGGGGACTCGGGGAAGAGTCCGCAGGCTTCGGAGGATTCGGTGACACATCCTCAAGTATCGGCTTGGAGGCAGTTTGCTTTTCAGATGCCAATGGCGTGAATGCAGTTGGATGCATGTGGTGCTGTAGATGGTGTTAGAGATGGTTTTTCCTACCTTGCATTATATCACCTATTTTGATATGCAGGTTTGCCGTTGATAGCTGGTCGCAAGTGACAAGTGATGAAAGAATCTGGCAGACTCATCGTCTAGCACGATGAGGAGGACCTCACGTCGCCCGCGGCCATCGTCCAAGTCATTTGAGCCTAGATCAACTCTCGTGTCGTCACTCTTCCCGAGTCTCTCTCCTTCGCAAGAGCTTCGCCAACATACTAATGACAGCACGCAAAACTTCAATCCCAAGACACCTTCAAAGTTGTTTTACTCTCACCTTCTGGTTTTCTCACAGTTGCGGAAAGAGCCATTACAATGGATCGACACTCATCTGATACTGACGCCAAGCTGCTGGTCGCAGAGGTGAACGAGTTTGAGCATGATACACTCTGCAGCCGCTGTCAGAAGTCCATCACGGGAGAAATCTGTTCGGGTTCCTGGTACCTGAAGCTGCTCTTAGTCTTTCTCCTATGCCAGGTCCCCATCCTGGGGCTGAGCTTCCTTGCATTCCATGCCTTCCAGAGAAATACTAATGTCACGATCCAAGGCATCGACCAGCAGGACTGTAAGAAGCTTCTTATGGATGCATCTGGTTCAATCATCACAAGTTAACTCATGCACCTAAAGACTTTACTCTCGAGAGCTACAACTCCACCGAGAAGCTCTACGACATTGTAGATGCTGCTGATAGATCACCGGAAGCAGACGCATTCTGGCATGAGCTTCAGAAGAGTAAGCATCCTATTGTCCTCGACGTAGTTGACATGCTCATAGCTAACAATCAACAGCCGACGGCATAGTCGCGGTCCGTAGCGAATGGGCGAAGGAAAAGGCCCTGCCCGACACAGTCTCTCACCCTGACGACCCGGCTTCCAAGATCTACCAAATCAACGTCTTTCACGCACTGCACTGCCTGGTACGTTCAGAGACCTAGAACTCTCGGTCGCTTGTTACTAACGTAAGCAGTACCGTATCAGGAACAGACTAACATCGAACATACCACTCGAAAAGTGGCCGCGCAACGATATCCACACCATGCACTGCGTAGACCATATCCGGGACGACTTGATGTGCCACGCCGACATCTCGCTCTCGGGATCAGACGAGTACGTCTCTTTCAACTCCCATGGCTACAATCAGAAGTGCAGAGACTTGGGTGCTCCGCAAAGGTGGGCGAAACGACACAGCTGGGCCGGGTATAAGGATTACCTGGAAGGCGTTATTGGATATGATTTCAATGAGGCGGAGCGGGTGAATATGGCTACGGCTGGAAAAGGGCACTGGAATAAGGCACAGAGCACGCTAGATAAGGATACTGGGAAGATTGAGCTTTGGTTTGAAGAGGACTGAGTCAATAGAAGTTCCACAAGTACTATCCCCGCAGCACGTACTCTAGCTATGTAATGTTTGCATCCAAGCAGGCATCGGATTATCAAATTCTTGTATGCTCGGAAGCTTTCTGGGTCCTTGAGCTCTAGGAGATTCCTTTGGCGAAGGTCTTCATGGTAACTTTGGGTGATTTTACAGTTTAACGTGAACCAATGTCGGTTAACTGACCTATATTCCTCAAGGCCTTGGAACAGTATCGATTCGGAAGGTTGCAGGTAGCAGACCTGAACCGCGTCTTTCAGCCAGGTCCATGAGCCCGCGAGGACTGTACTACCCCCATCTTCTTTGTAACGAGGAAACGCCAAGTCTCGGCCTGAACATGCAAAGAGAGAGCAAAGAACACCCTAGCTAGCAACCTTATCGAGTACCCGAGGCTCGTGTGGGGATACTATCCTCTTGGTGAAGGTACATGGACAATTGGACACGGCAGTTGTGCGGAAGAAACACATCACATTTTGAGACCCTTGAAAGACAACGCAGGACCCGAAAGACTTCAAAGATTGATTTGCTTGATTTGTGCTACGAAAACAGTGCTATTGTCGTTCGTTGTTCCTGCCTTGTGCATTGGCAAATTCCTTGCCCTTGACTAGTCGGCATCTAATGCTATACGTTCTGGAAGTGAGCAAGTAACCCGTCAAATGCTTGTCACAGACTAACTCATATAGCTTCATGAACTAAGATAATGGCTAGTCAGATGCCGCTGAAACCGTTAAAGACAGGATAACCGAAACGCAGCCATACTTTCAAGCTTTTTGTGAATCAGAAGCATTCAACACAAGCAGTCGAGGCATCTGTCGTAGCATCTTCAACCGGGCCCTCGTCGCCGAATGAGGCAATGGAAGGGCTCGCGTAGATGAACCTGGGTTCGAGGTCTGCCTTGGGCTGGACTGGAGCAGCGAGAATAGATGCCATGATGGCGGCGATAGGAAGGAAGACTCTAGCAAAGAACATTTTGAGGCTGCTGATTGAGAATATGGGCCTTGATGTTGATGGTGCGCAGATGAAGAAGTCGCTGAGTGTATCCCTGGACGAGGGAGAGTCATGCCTCTTTTAAGCTTTGAACCGATAGGTTTGAACAATGTTCTCAAATATCATTGAAAAGTCATGGAGTCTTTCGATGAGCACAGTGCGGCACGAGTCTCATCCTTTCCTCGGGGGGGAAACACCAACAGCACCGTCGGTCTTTGGGAGTTGGGGTCTAAGGAGATAAGCGCCAATGTGATATGTGTGATGTCTGTGGTTTCCAAAGCAAACCGCATGGTGTTGACTGGACGGGCTTTGTTCTGCAAGATCCATGTGCAGTCACATGGTGTTGGATCGGACTAGTATGTATTGACACGTTCAGTGCCCGTCCTTCTCCGCCTGACGCCGGGACCACAAGCTCATCCAACGGCCTTACCCACCAACTGGTAAAGGAAAAGGATAAGCTAGATAAACAATCAGATATAACAGGACACGTTCACGCGTTGGTTCGGTAGTTCCAATCTGTGTGCGTGCGTTTCCTCTAAGGGGGCTGGGCGGGTGGCCCTGTTCACATTGGGGGCGACGAGGAGGGACGCCATCAGCTGCGTCAACCAACATGCATACCAGAAACGCCATCAACAGTTGCCAAGTTCAGGATAACTTTGAATACGGAAAGTACTCCTAGTATTAGCAATGACTAGGGTAGACTGTTCGGTACGCTCAATTAGGAACATTCACCTGCCGACACTGCGGCTGTCTTTTACTACCTAGTCAGTTACAGTATGTTTGCCTGCGCCGAGAAGGTGGGCTCTCACTCGAACAAAGCGCAATCCGACGCTGTTAAGTCTCAAGACAAACATGATATTTGATAGTTGATATCTTGGAGAATTATGAAGACAGGCGGCGATACGGGAAAGGAAGGTGGCAGAATGCTCCGATCTCGACTTCCCCATGCCTGCCTCGAGACCTTGACCTTACCCTCTCGTTCGAGATCTTTCTTCCTGTTACCTCGCTTTACCATCTACATCTCAGTTTTCGAAGGCTTCTGAGTAATTTAGCTCTCCGGTGCATCAAAGAAAAGTCCTTTTGACGCCAAGAATCTCAGTCGCCAACGCACCACTCATCGATTTAAGGGATTCCTCATGACGAACTTCCAAGGTGACCCCGAGGCTGACGTTCTTCTCAGTAAGGAGCACAGTCGGGACAAAATCGAATCTTCTGTGGACCGACGTCAATGGCACCTTTCAAGATTTCTTTGCTGGTCCGCTTTGATCACCCTGCTGCTGTTCGCACTCAGCGCTTTCAGCCATGAATACTCTTTGTTGAGCATCGAACCCTCTCCACACACAGTTCCAATACACACCTGCGGCTCTACGGTCCCCGAAGCAAAGGCGAATGGCTGCGTTTTTGATGTCATGGCATATGGCTGGGTCCCATCTCAGTGCTATAACGGCGACCTCGTCAGCACGTACAACGCATATAGTATGAGCCCTTGGGCATTCGACAAGAACCTCACCAAGCCAGCGTCCGAACAAGTGCTTATGGCTGGAGAGAGGAGAATTCTCTACACGAACTTACGATTCCACCAAGAGCACTGTTTCTACACATGGCATAACCTGCTCCACAGCGTCGAGCATCAACGGCCACTGATTCATAACCTGTCGGCGTCTACCGAACACCGGCACCACTGCAAGGAGCTATTTTTGCAAGGGGAAGCGCCAACGGGCCCTGTTGTGCCAGCATTCTTTCATTGTGTAGACATGGAAGAGCCGTTCGTGCTTCGAGAACACATGTATGAGGATGAGTGAAGTTCCTGGTCGAAGATTGTGTTCCAAGACAACGGTTCCTCGTATAAACCAGGATTTCGGATGGCTAAGGATTATATTAAAATGAACAACAGTCGCCTATGCGTCTTCTTATTGTTAAGTACATGAAATTCTACAGGTTCTCCGTCTTGCGGCTATCTAGGAGACGCGCTACAAAGCTTGGACGGACGATACTCTTCCTTTGTCATAGCTGGATGTCAACATCAATTCACTCTGTATCTTGAGGGAATTTCAGGTCTTCAACCGTGATTGAGGATCTGCATTTAACAACTGAATTGTCTAAACAAAGAACCTTGTTGTGACAAGCTCCTCACAAAGCAACTCTTTTGGCAAGCTGTCTATTGATTTGTTTGCTAAGGTTTTCCATCTTCCGATCCTTGCCTGACTTCATACCGCTTTTGTCACGAACCAAAATCTTCGACTGGCAAAAGATCTATCGCCGAACGCAAAGAAAGATTCTCCAGAAAATACATGCAACATGTTTGAGATTGCTCACACTGATCCGGAATCGTCAGCGGATCACTCGAGGAGAATCGGTCACTCGAAACATGTACTTCTAAACCTTTCGCCAATTTAGCAAGGTGCTCTAAGCCTTACCGAGATTGGCCCAGATGAGAGTGAAATTTTGCAATGGAATCCTCTAGTCATTGTATCGAACTTTGAACATGGCATGTATTGGCTAAATGCTATGCGCTGAATGATCTTTGGTGCTGTATGTTTACTTCACCACCCGCCATATCTACATGTAGTGGCTGCTTTTCCGATTCTGGGCCGCCATCCGCGATATCTGCCTCACAATCGATTCCGCAGAGTAATATCTCTTTCCAACATGACGGGTTTCTTGCCACGGGAAGGAATTCTACTCGAACACGAGGCGAGATTAGAGTAATCAGGTGTGTTTGGTGGGCGAGTTTCCCGGATAGAAGAATAGTTGTTTGTTGACAACAGCGAATGTGCCCGAACTTATTACAAACAGCTCTAATCTTCCGAAAAGGAAACTGCTTTCGATAAGCACAGACTACTTATGGAAAGCAACTGAACTCTATGACACCACTTGACACGAGATATCGATGATACCTCATGTCTGGGGCGAAGAAACCTATATGAGGTCCCCTTTCCCTTTAAACTCACTTGCTTCTCCAACCCGGCGTGGAACAAGAAGCCAGCTGTCTTATAGAGAGATTATTTAGCACAAAGCTAGATGCTGTCAGATCTCGTGCCCCCCAGCGAAGCCTTTCTCTGAATGCCCTCTTTTTGTACTTTGAGTTGAAAAACGCGCAAGATGGCGATCCACGTGAGGGGCAAGTGTGTCTCTTATCCGGGCAGCTGGCCTCTCGTGGAGGGTGAGGGTCTTTCTTATAGCTTTTAGGCCAAAGCAGTTCTCATCGGCAGAATTCGACCGCCTGAAATGACCACAACCATCTTCAACTTCTTTTTATCCCCTCCAAACTCGCCGGCGAGGGTGGGGCAACGCTTCTCGACTTCCTATCTTAGTCTAGTTGAGGTTTATATTTCTTCATCTTATATCTTAAGAAAGTTATTCGCGGTATTTGACCACCTGACTGAGCCCGGGCCAAGGCGGAGGGAGTGTAGACCCATAATTGCCGGGCCCTAGTAGAGTGCCAGACGAAGGTGAAGCTATTCCCAGCGATTCACTACAACCGCCCTGGGGCGGACTTTTTCTTCTCCCAGACCTTAAATAGAGGACTTCACTGCGATGATTATCTACTTCTCCATCTCTCTTCATTCTCGCACCGAAGACTTTCGCGATAGCAATAATTTCGCGACTCCAGCAGCCCCACTCAACACCGAACACCCTTCTCCCTCTTCCTGAACTCCATCCTCCTTCTACCTAGCTGCCACAACAGACTTCGGTATGGAGTCGGTAAATTTCGGCATGACGGATTCTGGCGTTGCAGGTTTCGGCATGGTAGACTTTGACATGTCAAGCATTCCTATGTTCGCTGATAAAAACGCGCCGGACGCGTTTCAGTGGTTTGATGAGAGCCTGACGAATGATGTCTTGCCATCGATTTCCCAACCGGAACCCGCCGCTTCGCCTTTCCAAGCCGATCTCGATATCATGGACAATCTGTCAGTACCTTCGGATCAGAAGAAATGGATGTTCGATGTCATCTTCAGTACGTCGGCCCAAACAGCTTATCCGCATTCTGACTGAATCCAAAACTGACCTGGCCATCACAGACGATGTCATACCGTACCGATATCATGACCATTTCCGACTCTTTCCGAGTATCGATTTCTATCACACCCTCTTCTACAACCGAAGCAATCGCGATGAAATCTGGGGTTTTGTTGCACGATTTCACGATTGGATCTCTAGCGTCGCTGCGTCTTCCTCCGATGACGCTGATAAGGCGATCGAGTCACTTGAGCTTCGCGCACTCTTTCACGGATGGCCGGGAGAGTCAGAGCATAACACTAGTTCTGCAATAAGGCTCCTGGATGAGGCTTCCATGGAGAAGCAGCAGGCAACCCAGGCTTCCCAAATGCCCTCAGCGGTTTCAACGCCAAGCGACATGCTGCTGAACAGAAAGAGATCTGTATCCCAGATGTCGGACTGGACAGAAAACCAGCATCCCATACTGAAGACCCAACTCGAGGTCGCACCGACATTTCAATACCGCGGAATCATTCAAAATATGGAGCGTTTCAAAGAGCTCGATGATGCATATGATAGGCATCTGAGGCGTGCGGCTGGCGCAGCTCCAGAGGACGACCCTTCATGGCCAGCTTCTCCAGCAAAGCAACAGGCGTACGTCCGGAAGCTGTTTGAGAGCGCAACCGACTTGAGCGACTTCTTCGAACTGAGGAAAGCTCGTGAGCGATTGAACAACATTCGGAACATTCAACAAGGCGATTCAGTACAAGAGGCCGAAGCAAACCCAAGAAAGAGACGCCGGGCTCTCAATGGTCAACCCGCTGGTCAAGGCCTTGCAGCTAGACCCAAGGGAATGAGCAAATCGGACTGGGCACTTCTAGATGCCAAAAATACTCCTGTGGATCTTTTGGAGGCTGTGGTTCATCACCGCATCTCCAGTATTGAAGTTGAAATACTGTGCTGGAAGTTGTTGGTAAGTCAAAGCCTTCTCAACATTGTGCCTTTCGCGCTCTTAGCTAACGAGCATAAACAGTGCTGCGCCATGGAGCAGCAACAAGGCTTCACAATGCGTCCTCTGTGGTCTGGAACCAGAACTGTGTCAACGTGGGAACATTTTGACACCTTTTCTGAGAGGTGGCAGGCTATATGCGACAACATTCAAGTATTTGCCCCAATATTCCGTGGTAAAGAATTACAGCTTCTGATGGTTTAGTAGGACTGCAAGATGATCATTCACTCGCTCACCCGCGCAGACTGGTTCTGCAAGTATGCGGGTGCACCATCCAAAGAACGAGGGGTGGGTTCTTTGATGTCAACTCGAAGTGAGACAAACTAATGTTAGGACAGGCAAAACTGAGCAATGACTTGCTCAACGGCCGTCGGGACATACAGAACCAGGTCGGCCGTGATATTATCAAAGAGAGAACTTCTCAACAGGAGTGGGTAGCCTCTGAAAGCTTCGAGATCCGTGACAGACATGGCGACTTGATATCCAAGGGAGGGCATTTGGGAGACATAAAGAGGCGACAACTCGCTGTCCGAGACAAGGGGAAATGTAACAGAAGCAGTTGATTCTCCAAGGTCAATTCCAATGCTGTTCACATGCATTGAGATTTGTCCGTTGCACAAGATCGGATGGTCGTGAATGGTTAGAGATGGCACAATGACGATAGATCAACTGGGAAACTCGAGTTTAGGAGCTAATTACTGAATGTGGGCACGAAGGATAAGGGTGTCCTGTCCGTTGTCCCAGCTGGGCTTTCAAACTAGATATCATATGAAGAAGTGCTTATCCGACAGACAAGGCCTTAGCCAAGTTCGATGTCTCTCTTGATCTCGTAACATGTTTTGTGTCTTGGCGAAAATAGACCCAAGGATGCCTTGCTTGGTCATGGTGTCTAGGAAGGTCATAATGAGTAACTTTCCACTTGATCAGCAACATGACGACGGCTGGTTCAAGACTGCCTGGGTTAGGGCCATGGATCAAGGCCATATTCCGATTTCTACCGAAGGAGTCTCATAGTTCATAGCGATAATTGGGCAATGGTTCATGGGCGATAAGTAATCAACGCTGCCATAAGTCCTTGAACCCGGTCGCTCAAGAATTGCTTCTGAAAAAAGCTAGTAAGACTGGAGCAAACTCCCAGCTCTTTGGCAGACTCTTTATTTCCATACCTATGAAAAGAATCAAACAGTCATGAGAGATTTGGCAAAACTGCAGCTTCTGTACTTCTTTCTGCTAGAAGATAGAAAGTACCACCATAGTAGAAGTGTGGAAACAGTAAAGACGCCGGTCACTAGAAAGTAGATCCAGATATAGCTTGACACTACCGAGTGTTTAGCGTCATCTGGAGACCAGTTGAAAAATGTCATCGAGAACAACGTCTGCTTCGCCTTAGCTAGACTTCCAAGACTGGCCAGAGCAAAAGACGGACTTACTGCGAAGAAAGTTCCTGGAAGGAAAACCATTGTTACTAAAGCAATCGAGCGCATTTGCCTAGAGTCCCGACCGGTAGCTGTCGCAATGTCCACATTTGTGTCGCCTTGAGCCTAAGAGAACATTTATCTATCAATTCCAAAGCAAAGCAGAAACCAATTGGGTGTTTCGGCCAAACGCGAGAGCCCGACTTACCCATTGCGTGGCAATTGTCATTCCCTCAACGCTCATCGTACACTCCTGAATCCTGTCTTCCAAGTCTTCGATGAGAATGTGGAGTCGATCGTGGATCATTAATCCAGTCCTATCCATTGCCAATTTACCTGCTTCGTGTTGTATCTCATGTTTAGGCTGCTCACAACCCCTATCAATCAGCTGAACCCTGTGTAGACTAGACAATTCAGCGATATGATCTACCATCTTTCGAAGCTGCCCTTTCCATGCCCTTAGACTGTTCCGAAGAAATGTTGTGTTCAGCCATGCTGACCTTCTAGAATGTCTCATGTCAATTTTATCCTCTTCTTGAATCTCCTCGCCCTCAACCGGGTTTCCAGTACCAAGCTCGAAGATTGCTCCTTCGATGGCATCAACCGTATCTGCAACAACTTTTGCCATTCGATCTCTTTCCAACTCTGCAAAAATACCTGGCAGAATGAGAGGGAATAACGTGTGGTCTTTTGCTCGACTCAGTCGGCTGACCACGTTCCGTTCCACCTCCGCTGTGCATCCAAACAGCACCGCAAATGTTAACTGGCTCTGAGGAAAGTACGTGGCTGTCAAAGCCATGTCGTCTGCCCATGAGTTTGATGACCTACATTGATACACTATAATCAAAGTCAAAATCTCGAAGTATCTGGTATGGGGATCAATGGGGCCATACCTATCGCAGGGTGACCTATCGAATCCGACTCCCCAACATTCATGGTGACGAAAGACCTGGAAAAGACAGGAACGTCTGCCCGGCTGATCACACGCGCTATGGAAGAGTGCACGAAGAATTTGTCGCAAATGCTTCTGAATGTAACCTGGTCAAAAGGTAATTGGCGCACCTCCCTCTTTCCCCCTTTCGCATTATTACTCAAGTCGGCCTGGTGCCCACCATCGGAAACGCTGTGGCTCGGCAACCCTTGTCTGTCAAGAGAGCTGAAGGGCGAAGTTTTCTCATTGAAGGTTTCATGATTGGAACTTATGGGATGTACAGCAGGGAGGCTTTCGCTTCCAACAAGCTTCGTGGATGTTTCCGACTTTCTGGCAATTCTTTGGTGGCAAAGTAAGTCAGTCTAGGAGGGCTTTTCTATTTCTCTTTTTTTCTTTCTGGAATTGAGAGAAGTTTTCGTACATGAGAACTAGGCCCGAGTCCTTATGAATTGACGGGATGCACTACAATCAGTTAACCGCCATGCAGTATCAGGTCAGACATGAAGCTGAAGCTGACATTATCAAGCCAAGACTGCCACTCTGTGGAGGTCTCATTGGACCAAAGTACAGGACCCTATCTCGAGGGTTAGCTTCCTTCTCATCTAAGTGATAAGGGCTAGGACAAACGCATTGATTGGTTAAGATCTTGATCACTGTCGTCGGTTGTGGCCTGTAACGAAAAACTCTTTGCAGGTCGGTCTCATTCAAGCTACTGTCGTCCAATGCCCAGTCCATGACCGAATGAATGTGAGATGTAGGAGCTTCGGTTTCCGTCACAACTTCATCTTGCTGTAAAGGTTTAGGGGAAGAGAATTCTGCACCATAATAGCAGCTTATCACTCATCTGGGGGCCCTCTGCACGTGGGATCATTTGCAGCCATGTGTGACGCAGCCTACTTCAGGGTGGCACTCGCAAGGGGGGAAAACCGCATTCCTGCAGCTGCTGCAGGCTGCGCCACCCATTATTACTGCAAACCGTCATGTATTACAATCTTCTCATGATTCGTGTCAGGCTGACCAATAGTCTTTCAACTGTTCGCCCTACTTTCACGGGAAACGCAGCGCCGTTCCGTCGGTGAGTCTGGACCGTGTGACTGTCTAGTACAAATGATATGTGACTTAGGGTTCGCCACAGCTCCCCTCTGGCTGTGCCTGCTTGTTCTCTCTGCGGAAAGCTCTGCCAAATTGTAAAACCTCAGTACCAATACTTGCAGCGCCTCGTGAAAACCTGTCCAAGCCTGCTATGCCACCTGGCATAATTCCTCCTCCAATCACCCAATTATGACTCGACGGTTGCGAAAGCAGTCCATCTGCAAGGGAGCGGGCGCTACCGTCAGCAATCCACCAGCCCAAGAATAAATGGCACACCAAGGTCTCTTTGCTTGTTTCTTTGCTGTTTTACGGCATGGAGTTGTACATCCTGGAAATAGTGGAGGTGGATGTTATCTGGTTGTTGAAAGGGCTTGCTTGTCAGTTCATGTTCACACAGCCGATGCAACTTAAAGAGAGGCGTTCGAAGACGTGGCCATTTTGTGGCGGCTCACCATGGTTGGGTCGCAGCGGTCTCGATACCCTGTAATCGCATTCCCAGGACAAGTTCTTGCTCAGGCTCTCTGCAAGGCTCTTATCAGAATGGGATGAGTTCTTCGGTCGTCCTTCTAAAGTGTAGCCGAATTCCACTCCTGGTCAGGGTTTGATGTATAATACGAGGCGCGTCACGCAGATTGCACGTAGAGGCCAAACAATTTCGACTTGCATTCTTGTAGCTAAGTTCACAGCAAGAAGGGAAACCGCCTACACACTCTGAAACTGTGCAGGCCAGATACAATGGCGACTGAAGTCTTCCAGGGCAGGTACACCGACGAAGCGGTGATCACCCAGCACCTACGGCTCATATTTCCACGCCAGAAGTTCCAGATATCTGTGAGAACGTCCCTCAGCGACGTTGATATTATATGAATGGGGCGTATATGCTGACAAGTCGGTCTAAATTTCTAGTCGGAGCGCGGAAGGTTTTTCTGCACTATCCCGAGAAAATTGAGACCGGTGAGGATGTGAAAGCTTAGTGTCTGTATATCGAAATCTAATTCGATGCAGGTCGAGCGTGAGAGAGTCCTGAGAGCAATTCAAGCAGATCATTACGACCAAGAGAGTTGAATGTACTCCGTTAATTCCTTTCATAGTCATGGTCACGAAATTCGAGACGGCGCAAGGCGATTGGTTATGTAAATACGTCATAGAACTTTGAGTCATGAAGGAAACACTTTTGGGAGCAGCTTTTGTGATTCTTCTACCTGATTTGAGATCTATCTATCGGCAGCTGAACGTGTCGGTCCATCATAGTCCATTATGATTGCTTCAAAATCACTATCGTCAATATTCGCAATGTGCCTCTTCGCCACCTTGTTGAGATGTGCTTGAACCGGTACATGAGGCTGTATGATGGCCGATGATGAAGTTGGTGACATGCAGTATCCCCTTCGGCTGCTTTGGTCTTGCATGAGACTCAACTCTCGACATAGATCAGGTGACGCGATACGCTTTCGGTCAACTGATTGGACTATCAACATTCTGTTTTGGACCAGAGCTAGCAGATCGCTGATAAGTTGAGAGCATCTTCTGTGCCCCCTCAACCGGTCGAACTCCTAGCTGTCTTGTTAGCGAATAAGCTTTCAAGCTACAGTTTACCAACCGAACCTCAGTAACGCTTTGCTTGATGTTGAAAGCATAGTTATCTTCGGATACCCGAACAATTTCAAAATAGATAGGCGTGTCGTGGCTATTGATATATGGAGACATGCGCTTCTGCTTGAACTCCTGATAGCCTTTCCATCCATCTAGAGTCCATACTATGAACTCAAGTATGAGACATCCGAGGGTCCATATGTCGAAAGACCTAGATATGCGACCCTCATTCCCTTCAATATCACACTCAGGAGGCCTGTAGTTGGGAGAAACTGGGATTTCTGCTCCTGGTCGGTTGGACCGACTCTCCTGGCCGTGTGTTCGGGTGAGACCAAGATCAGAAAGAACTAGGTTGCCTCTACCATTCGATTTGAACCACAAGACATTCTCTGGCTTGATATCACCATGTCTTCCATAGAGACGTTTTCCATTGATGTCCAGGTGGTCCGTGTCGTTAGGGTCGTGGATGTAGCTCAAAGCATCAGCAATGCCGCAGATCTGGCGCATCATCCACAGAAAGAATTCATGATTTCTTTCAAGAAATGATTTACGCTCCCAGAATTTAAGAAGATCACATTCGGCCCAGGGAAACAACAGAAGGTACTCAGTGGTACCATTAGTACTACGCGTGAAAGTTGCAAGAAGGGTGACGATGTGGGGGTGTCTTCCGCCGAATCGTTTCAAGTGCTTAACTTCCTGGTCGAATTCCTGTCTATTGGGAATGTAGAGCTTCTTCAGAGCAAAACATCCTGGGTCGGCAGATATCTAAGGTTATTAGTTCTGCGATCAAGCTGAGGAAGTGAATGTATGATGGTAACATAAACCGTACCTCTTTGAGCGTCTTGTGGAAACCATGCTGCCAAGCATGTATTACGATTTGCTTCACTTCCCCGAAACCTCCACTCAAGCTCATTGATGTCGCACCGTCAGGTGTAACGACTGAAATAGGATTGGATATTGTGACCCATGGGAGTATGTGAGTCTCGCCGAAGCTATAATGGGAAACTTCTCCCTTTTGTGAGGATTTGGCAATGTAATGAACGAATAGGCGACATTGCAGTTTGTAGAAAGTCTCCCCATCCAGAGGATCCCATTCGCCAAAAGGGCGATGCGACTGGTAGTATCTCTGGTCTTGATATTCTGTAATTTGGTCGCGTTTTAGGGGAAGATTTTCATCGGTGAATCTCTCGTCGACAAAGCTCTGAATACACTGGCCTTGCTGCATGAGGACCAGAATCGCAAAGATGAGATGATAGCTTGCAGAAGTATCATTTCTCCCCAGAATCGTGTCTGTCCACCGTTGACAGGTGTTGGTTGAATTCTCGCCGTGTTCCGCAGTAAGTGAACCTTGTTTGACGAGATGTCGAACAATGTGAGAGACGGTCTCCCTGCCGAACAGGTGTTCAAAGAGCTTCGATGGCCAGAAATCTTGGTCACGGCCCAATGGTGATTTGACGGCGTTGTCCCAGACCCTGCATTTGATCTGTCGCTTCATGTGAGCATCACTGGTGATTTCTTCTAGATTCTCTAAGTTAGGTAGGGTAGGGGTTAACCAGGCGGCAACAGCTGGAATTCCAGTGGAAGAACGGAGGTTTTCGACGCGGATCGGAGGCCCGTCATTGATCTGGATAGCCGGTGTATTCCCGTCAACAGGTCCTTTCTGATGAGCCATGGCGACTAAGACTGGGGTGTACTCCCCTCGAGGAGTTTTGAGACCTGGATTTTCTTACGAAGAAAGAAGAATGACGAAGACTGAGGACATTCTCAAGCCCCTGCCTCAGGTGAAGCTGTCGGGTCGAGGCTCATATCACGTCAAGTATGAACACCATGCTTGCCTCAAGGCTGCCCGCAGCCTGGTTGTTGGGCGCATGAACATTCGACCACACCCTCTTGTATGCTTCTCACTTAAATTCACTTTTGAACAAGGCTTTCATCAAATAAGCCACCGTCAGCAACAAAAAGTCGGTGTTGATTTGAGTGACTTACCTTGCCCAGAACTATGATCGAAGCAGGCTACAGCCAGGCTGCGGCTGATTGTGACTCCCTGTCACCCAGCCACACCCGCCTCTTCTCCATGCAGATGGCTGGCAATGTAGTTCGGAAAAGACATTGAGGCACCGTCATGCATATGGAGCCTGCCTTGATCTCGATCAGGCGGGCAATCAGGACATGGCCATTCATACCACCCATACAAAGAGGCGCACACCGAGTCATATCAATAGACGAATGATATTTCCAGCAACCCTCACGGATTCTTTCTTCATCCTATTCTAGGGACTAGCTTGTTTTCAGTTTTTTTGCTCCAAATTATCCAACCAAACCTTGCCAAAATGAAAGCTCGTTGGGAACGCAGTCAGACATTTGCTGACAACCAAAAATCAGTCGATTCCTTCTCCTTACCGCGTATTCAAACTGCACGCTATCTGTGTTCGCTTGCACGAATACATAACCTTGTAGTACTAGAACCTCCCGTTCAACGAGGCTCGTACGTCAGGACGAGCCTGTGTCTTTATGTTACTACTTGCGACTACTTGGACTTTTCTTTTTTTTTGGGGGGGGGGGGGGGTTAGACTGCACTTACAAAGTCTAGAGGGAGCGACGAAGCATCTGCTCTGATGCAATACACATTTTGCCTAGTCTTCAGGTAATTCTTAGTTGCGTGTTCTGTGAAATCTGACCAGAGTTGGGGGACAGGAAATGGCTCGATTCTTTGCTGAAAAGGGGTTGTTACTTCGACTGAGAACTTTCCAGGGCCGTACAATCTGGTGAGAAGGTTCGATAAGCCGTGAGGGCTCTTGACGGTCTTGCAGTGGACGAATTGCCATTGGCCGCTACTACTTGAAGAGCTAGAGACTGAGGGCATTGCCGTACAAAAACGAGATGATCGTTCGCAGTCCAAGATTATCTTATGTTGATTGACCGTTCTATAAAATTGAACAAAGAGGGAAGGAAGCGGAATAAGAATATGCTTTCTAATACAGCTTGAGAATTAGAGTCGTTATCCGGTCCAAACAATTACTAGGCCTGGGCATCGATATCAAGGGCTCATGAGCCCTTTTCTAGGTGATCGACCTGCATTATGAATCAAGCGCGTGTCCGCCTGGTAACGGCACAGTGAAACAATAGGTTGCCTGTTTATTAACTCTTGGTATGGTCATGCATTAGCGACCAGCGGGCTGAAAAGACGACTATCCAACCACGGCTGCCGCTGCCACACACCCCATTCCTTTCGGCGCCACGCCTCTTTGATAGTTTTTCTACTTCGCTCCCTACTCAGCCGCAGTCAGGTCTGAATCAGGCCGATAACTGGTTGTGTGCCGCCTGATGGACTTGGCGTGTGTGAAAAGATGATCAATATTAGGTAGCATGCAGCAGTTGCATATGCTGATGACTGAAGTAGTGATTTGGAATGACGGGCTGCACCATCGTGGGGGTAACGCCATAGTCCTGGCGGAAGATGGCCCATGTCTCTTCCCCCCATCATTTCTTGGTCTATGAGGTAGGCTTCGGTGGGAATGTTCCAAATAAGGGGACGATGTGTGGGAACGAAGGAGGTGAGGGGGCGGGAATAAGCAAAATCATTTCAATGCTCAGCATTCGAGAGCCTTATCATCTCCTCTCCGGGGCTGTGCCATAATTATCACCCGCTAGACAAGACCAGTAACACCTGGCTTGCCCTGATTTAACCAGCAAGAGGGATGCGGAGATCTTTTGGGCAGCTTCTGCCGAATAATATATTGGTGTGTTTCCGCTGTTTCAGGATTCGTGCGTGGCTATTTGAAGGCTACTTCGTCAGAGCTAACAGGATACTCGTCCACAGCAAATCATTGCGTTGATCAAAACACTGCACCATATATAACCGATATGAGCAATCCCAGGGAAGAAGATGATAATCTTACACTGGGTGATGTACAACCAGGGCTCGATTTCTGTAGCACAGTGAGTCACGTCCTTCTTAGTACAATCGCCCCTACAGATACGACTCTTTGCATGTCCAACTACCTAGCTGTCACTCTACTCAATCATCCTTATAATTGCCTTGATTTTCCTTGGACTGACTCGCTCGTCTTTGCAGCAGCCTCGCGTCATACTTTCTCGATTCAATGAAGATGTCGATTCCTCATCAATAAATCCGACCAATCCGAGAGACAGGAAAAGTCTGTCCCCTGAAGCTTCTCGAGCGCCCCCAGACCACCGAAGATTGCGTGTTGAAGACGACGAGATCAGCATCCATACCCAAAATGACCGAGGCTACGCAGCTGCTGGGCGGGCGTTCGATAAAAGCAAATTTGCGGCTTACCAAGATACTGAGCCTATCATAGCAGAGTCGGACTTTGGACAAATGGGCACGCACTTGCAAGGCATACAGCCAGACCACGCTACGAAGACAACATATGTCAAGTCCATGGCTTTGGAAGTCCTCAAATCTCTCGAAAAGTACGACGGACGATCTCAGGGGCCAAGGTGGTTGCCAGTCAATCACCTTTTCAGAATTATTACAAGAGATTCCGTTCTTCGAGCGTTAAAGGAATCTCTTCAAAAATTGGAGCTTTCCCAAGGAACCTTAGAGAGATATGCGGAAGCTGTGTGTCCCTCAATAGGTTCAGAAAGCAGCATCGGATCACGAAGCATGTTTGCGATCCTTACGATTCTGAACAGAGCTGAAGAAATCCTTGAGTACGTTGATCTCGAATTATCGGACGACAACTTGCCTTTTGTTGCTGGCCCAGACCAATTGAGTCAGTATGGCAAGCTATTCCCAAAGGGTGTCCAGTTTCAACATCCGTACCAGTCATTCGGACGCCATTGGACATTTGAAACCTGGGGTGCGTTGAAGGAGTGGCAAAAGATAATGCGGTCACCATTTTTTGCAATTGACCCGGGCGACAGAGAAAGAGATATTCCTCACTACGAATTGGAGCCTGATACAGTTCTACCATTCATCAAAGAGTTCCCGGCCACATCTTCGACAATGACGTCTTACAGCAAAGTGCAGCGAGTGCAAATCCACATGCACCACCACACGATGTACAAGGTATTGATGGACCCGCATTCTTCGAGGATAAAATCACAGGCTGAAACATTTCCAGGGGTTTAATGACGAGAATCCATGCTTCGCTGTCAAAGAACTGCTCCCTGAGCTTGGCAACCAAGACACGAGTCGCGAACTCAACTTTAAAGAAGAGGTACGAGCTTTGGCCAAGACTGTCGGCTTATCGAGTCATGATCATGTTATCAAGCTACTTGCAACTTGGAGGAGAGGGGACAGTTGGAGTATGCTGTTTCCATGGGCTAGGAGCAACCTCAAAGACTACTGGCTGCAAGAGTCTCCCGATCCCAAAAGATCGCCAGAATTCGTACAGTGGATGTCTACGCAATGCCGGGGCCTTGCAGAAGGCCTCAAGAAGATTCACAAAAGTCCTTCAAACCACCTCACAGAAGAGTTCGGTATTCACGGAGACATAAAGCCCGAGAATATCCTCCTCTTTGACAGCAAATCGAACGAATTTGGGACGATGGTCATTAGTGACTTCGGCTATACTCGCTTTCATGGAAGAAATACTCGGTCAAACACCCCTGTAGTAGGCTTTAGTCCAACTCACAGAGCCCCGGAACTTGACCTTGAACAGACCATCTCTAGATCTTACGACATGTGGACGTTTGGTTGCGTGTTTCTCGAGTTCATTACCTGGTATCTGAAAGGTCCAGACGGGATCGAGCAATTCGTGAATCAGCGAATTCATGACGACAAAGGGGCACCTCCAGGCTTTTCTGAGGATAAGTTCTTCAACATCAACAACACAATCGGCAAACAGAGAAGACCGATAGTGAAGCGTTCTGTGGAAGACGTAAGTCGAAATTTTTGAGAAGACAGAGGGAAACGATATGCTGACTATAATCTCTTTCGTCCGCACCCTAGTGGATAGCGCATTTGAGAAAACAACCTCACTGTGGTGGCTATTTCAATGACTTCTTGAATCTGATAGTCAATGAGCTTTTGCAACCCGAACCTAGAAAACGAGAAAAGTGCGACAAAGTTGCTGAGCATCTCAGGAAGTTAGAACAGAAGTGCGAGCGTATGTGCGAAAGCGGAACGGTGGAGTACCTCATGGGCAGGATCTCTGAGCCCTCGATGCCTACAACCTCATCTGTCACAACATTGCCTTCACATCAATCAAAGAACTGCCGTTCCCAGTCAAGCTATCCTTCAGTCATAAGCTCCCTCTGCGATATTACCTGGGGCTCTTGGAGCGACCGTGGGTCATCGAAGTGGCCACATCGATTGATGAACAACATCGATGCGATGCTCTTCAGCGGAGTTTCCTCACGAGAAGGTGGTGAACAACATCACCGACAGCCTATGGGAAGTCCTCAAATGGAGCCTTTAGTCCAGCCAACTGAACAAACACCATTGTTTCCATCTACTACTGTGGAAACCCCCACCATTTCTTACACAGCTACTTCCCATCAGGGATCAAGGCCTCGAGGTAGGCAAGGTGAGAATCAAGATGTGGTCGCTCCGAGATATCCCGACGAACCCTTTCAACAGCAACGAATGAATACAAACCTCCGCATGCGGGACGGTCAGTGCCGAGAGTTGACGAACGGCAGGTTGGGTGACCATATCAGTGACACTAGAAGTATCGAGCAAAAGAGACCGGGCTCTTTCCTGTCTGTTTACAGCGATGGAGCTTTATGTGGACTGAGAGACATATTCCAGTATTGTTTCGCGTCTTCAGAGGACTCTCAGAGTTCTAGAGATGGCTGAATTTCCGCCGAGATTGGGGAGTCACCATATGCACTAAATCAAAATTTGGGGAGTTCTGCTTGGTGTTTTGGTCGGTGGACATTGGCTTTGAATAGCCTTTGCCGGAAAGGACCGCAAACTTTGATCTCCAAGAATCGATGAGGGATAGAACTAAGAGGCGCAAGTCTGCATTTGATACCATATGATTTCAAGCGCTATCATTAGGATATTTCAGCCAGATATCTACAAGGGTCTCGTATTGGCTACATTAAACACTGATCCACCTTGCCATCCACGTTCTGGTGATCTGCTTGGCTTCATCAACGAGACCAAGATCCAATAACATTTGAACAGTGCCACGAGTGGAACTTTCAAGAGCACTGAAGACCCACGAATGGGTGAAACTGGTGTGCTCACCGATAAAGACCGTGTTGAACTCAGTCTGCCAGAAGGCCGGCAGGTAAAGCTGTTGTTGGGGAACAATGGGAACGGCAAAAGCTCCCGCATGATGCTCATCCTGCTCCCAGCAGTGACGCTCATAGTTGCCGGTCCACATCTCATCAGCAATGGGGCCGTGAATCTCGACCATAGCGCGCTGGATGTAGGCAATGTGCTCCTCAACAGGCATGGAGCAAGCGACAACAGCATCGGCGTCAGGCGCATAACTCGTAAGCATGACACCGGGACCGGTTCCATTGATGTTGTAGGAAGGGTAGCAGATCTGACCGATGCCGTAAATATCAGTGCGTCCACATCCACCGATGATGGGGTGCTCGAGGTGCTCCCAGAAGCGAGTCTTGTACTGCATGGCGACCTTTACGGCACCCAGGAAGACTGTGCGCTCAATGGCGCGGCGCATCAAGCTCGAGTGAGGCGGCAGCTCCCAGTACTTGAGTACGTTGAACGGTACGCTGTTGAAGACATAATCAAACTGTTCGGTCGTAGTGTTCTTGGACCAGGGGTTGCCTCCAGTCTCACGCCATGTCACATTGAGGTTGTTGGAATCCTCGTTGTACTTGACGCTGAAGACCTTGGTCTTGTAGGCAATGCGATCTTTGATAATGTTCTCGAAGGCAGCGGGGAGACGGCTGATACCACCATCAACGGTGCGCCACTCATTGGCTAGGAAGTAGACAGTCTCAAACTCCCACATAGGCCAGACAACGTGAGATGGGGTGACCTCATCAGTCACGTTCAGATCGGTGTTCATAACGTGGAGCAGGTACTCGACCTCAGAGAAATCGAACATACCAGTTTCAACAGCCTCCTTGTGGGCCTTGAAGACATTGGTAGCGTAAAACTTCCGTCTCTCAGGCGTCAAAGCCTTGAAGTCATCAAGAGCCTGGATGGCTTCCTTGGCTGCGGTAGCGTTGGAGTAGGTCGTGTTGGTCATGAGGGAGGGGTCGGCGGCGATCTCCTTGCGACCGGGGACAGTGCCATCGGGACGACGCTCTTTGGTTGCAACAGGGGCATTGTCGGAAACCTGGATCCACGGGATGAACTTGACTTGGAGAGCAGGATCCGCGTCAGCGTTAATCTCGTTGAGGACATCCGCCAGCTGATAGATCATCTTCTGATCGTTGATGGGATAGGTCTCGTTGGTTTCAGCATCGTAAATGCTGTGCGGAAACCGCATAGGTCCCAGCTCGTGGTGCTGATGCTCGTCCGGAGTTGATCCGTTCAGATAGGTGGTGCGAATACGTCCTCCGATTCTTTCTGAAGACTCCAGAATCTTCCAGTTGTGAATTCCGACTGAGTCGAGTAGCAACTGTGGCTATTGTCAGCTTCTTCTCCCGAATGAAAGGTCTATGAAAACTTACGCCAGTGTGCAGACCGGAGATGCCGGCGCCCAAGATACCAAACGTTTTGTTCTTTACCGATGCAACAAACACATCGTCGGGTTGCTTCTGCTTGAGGTATTCAACGCCATCAAACCAGGGGCCCATTGGGTCCGTGGCCTCGGCGAAAGTCGCACGCTTTCTCATCTTGCGGCTCTTAACAGAATGTTCTGAAGAGCGACCGACAAGCTGGCTGTCAACAAAGGCGTGCAAGCATCCCGAAGACACATCCTCAGGAACCATCCAGACAAACTTTGTAGGCCTTTGGTCTGTCCATTCCAGATGACGCTTTGCAGCAGGGTGAGAGCCAATGTGTGTCCGCCCAATCTTGTGATGGGCTTCGAAGGGGGATCTCATGCCACAATCACCATAGACAAGGGATAGCTCTCCATCGAGAGGGCCATTGTACTCGATGTTGATGTTGCGAACTCCGTTTCTCTCGACTTCAAACGGACCCTGAAAAGAGACCGTCTCGCGGAATACGGGTTCCGCAACAGCCGTCTGGCAAAGACTGGCTGCGGCAGTGAGGAGCGTTGACCAACGGGCAGCCATGTTGACTATGGCAGATTTTGAGGGCAAGGTTGACAAACGGTGAGAAGTTCAAGAGGCTCAAGGCTGATGCCCGTGATTATAACCTGCTCTTTATATGGCTGTCTGCCGAACGCTCCCCTACCTTGACTATGCATGAGGCTCAACCAAGTGAGGTTTTGATAAGCACCCGGATGGACATATTGGAGGCTTAGAAGATCTCTAAAGGCTGGGCATCATCTAATTAGATTGACTCAAGTCCCGTCACTGAGGTTTTCGGGGTGCGGAGGTTGCGTTTAGTCGAGTTTTCGTGTCATGTTGCGCAGGACCGGTTACCGACTATCAGGGCACAACTCCGCAATCACTGTAACAACGTGGGAGACATGCCCGAAGACGGCGCAAGCGACCACAGAGAACGTGGAAATTCTAATCGCGCATAGGTCATGACGGGGGTCAGAGTTCTCGCTTCTTTGGAGTTCATATCGTTGGTGTCTTGGCGGGAGGGACGCTGCATGGGCCCGGCCTTGTTTACTATCCCGGCATCGGAACCGCGGGGAACCCTAGCTTGCTTGCGGGTTGCGAAAACCGACCATCGGCTCTTATTTGTTCTTGCACCTTATCTTGGTTGAATCTCGACCGTATCCTCTCGCGGCTTGACCTGCATGGGAATGGCACCAGAGTTGCGTGGCGGTAATGACGAGCGAGAGCAGACGATGGGAACAGGAAGTTGGATAATGTAGAGAAGCATTCGCTTGAGTGGTATTAGGTAATGGGTTGCGCGCAATTCTAGAAAATGGGGCCCCCGTGGTGGATATCCGGAGGCCCGATACCCCATCAGGCAAGTCAAATACTTGAACCCTCTTGGGATTGAGTCGTAGCCAACTACCAATGTCTAGGACTCTAGGAAGTTGCGGATTGCCCTCAGTCTTTCGTTGCTAGGATGCTGTGCTTGCTTACTAGAGCTGTCAATCTTTGAAAGTTTGGCAGCTCCGGCCGAATGTCAATGCCGATGTTGCCAATACATAGCGGTGTATGTGTGGGTCGCCGGTTAAATGTGTTAATTCTCATTGCCATCGCCAAGACAGCAAAATCGGGGTCAACAAGGCCGAATCTCTTGGCTAGAGATAACTTATCTTCATGTCAGCAATTGCCGACCGGATGCTAAGGAATGCGTTATCATGCGAAATCTCGCTGTAAGAGACTGCATGCATCTTGACACCGGCACGGTCCGTCCTTCCTATACCGGCCCGGATGACATGGAGATACTCTTCACGGTACCGACTTGACTTGCTTGGAGGTAACCTCACTACAGTCGCATTTTGAACGCCCAGCACCTGAAACTTCCTGTCCTTAGGCTTGCTTGGGCGGTGATTTGTTAGCGACGGTGTCATGGGTCGAACGGCTTTCACAAAACCATCAATTGCTTTTCGGCCCGCAAAGCTGGTGTGACGGTTCGTCTCCTTCCTTTAGCAAGCAATCAATTGAAGAGATAAGTAAGGAAGAATCAGCTATTAAGAAGAATGAGGGTCTTCCATCAGGGACTCAACATCCATGCAGAAATCGAATCAGCTACTCGGCATCCTAATCCTACTCATGTTGTTACTTAGATCATACCTTCGCACGCATTTCAGCATGCACCTCCTCCGTAGTGCGAGGAAGTGAGAAACATCGTGAAAATTATGGCGCACACCTCATACAGTTCTAAAGCAAGCTTTTAAAATCCTCAACTCGTCAATGAACAGCAATTGCCAAATTTATGGCACTTATACCACGATTGGCGGTCAACGTTACACCTAGCTCGTAGAAATGGAGTATCATCAAGTATACGAAGCGAATCCGAAGGACTTTATGTCATATTACACTCTCGAACTCTTGTTATTAGACAGCCTCGTAATTCAAAAGCTTGTAGAGTCCTTCTCACCTTCAGGATGTGCGGATATCCTTGTAAACCCATTTGGCGGAGGAAACTCAGGAGCAAATCCGCGGCCTATGCTGCAGGTTCTGATCTAGTCCACAGATAAATCCCTCCAGCCCACATGATAGGCTCAGTATTCTTGAGGTACCTTATTCGAGTGAACTCTTGTCTTTACTTCCGTGCCTTCCGTAAGGTACCTTAGCTTTACTGATGTAAGAGAGAGTCAGTTGTCACCAGTCCAGAAGCGGGGTCAGTATCACGTCTACACTTTTTGCGACATACGAGAGGATAGCATCGAGAATGATGAAAAATCGAATACAGCATTAGTGTGGCCGATCTAAAGCAGCAGCGTATATACGTGACGGTCACTACTTGGAAAGCAATACATTGAGGCAGCCACTGGCGTGCGCCATGACCTCTTCTAGGTTGGACGCCACCTGAGATATGTGACTGCTAACTTTGCGCCTGTCATATTTGTAGTCACAGGCTCTAAGTCTAGTCGTAGTTGATCATTAAAAGCTCTTTTTTCCTATCTTTTGCACGTAGGTAAATACATTTTTAGGCAAAGGCTGAATGGGCCCAGACGGCGAGAGCGCACCATTGCCATCACTCGCCCTCTACCTCACGTCCATCGAGTCACGCTGCAGAATTTTTCAGTTCGCCTTGATGACTGACGAGAAGTCAGCATACCGGTACAATGAGGTCGTTAGACTTTACCGTTGAACTGTCTTCCCATTGCCATGGGATGCATGCCTGGCTGCGGAACATCTGGGACAGAAGATCTGCAAGTCCGCATTCTAAAGAACAGCTGATGAGCACTTACCTTTGCGCTTATATGACAGACCAGTAAAAGTCGGATATAGATGCCGATATGACGAGATGGCCCCCAGGTTGTGGGTTGCTTCTCCAGGAACCACAAACCTTAAGCCTGGTGCCTGGGTGAGTCTTCGTCTGAAGAAGCAAGAGGCCGTTTCAACCCACCCATTTTTCTTTTCTTTCTTAAAGACGCTTTGAGTTTTTGAAGTGGTGTGTGGCCCGTGAACCAGCTTTACCATTGTTTCGTTTCACGTTCCAAGATTTTGGAATTCGTCAAGTGCTGCCGGTCTTTCGTCCGGCGCAGGCAGCGCTCGCGCACTAGAAGAGTTATCAGAGTTTGGAAGTCGTCTTATTGCAAAGTTGACGAATGTCTTACTTTCAGGGGTAGGTTTTGCGCGCGACGATTTTGAGACAGAATGTTAGGATGCTGTTTCCCTGTATAATCCTCATCCGACCACAGCTGTAGTTTCGACATTTTCCACCTATTCCTTACATCTTCACTACAAGAGAAGGGACAGGAGTCAGTTTGATCGCTGAGGCATTTTCAATCACAGGGAAAAGTCACGATGAGGGCGAAAAGGCGCAAAAAAGTAGAAGGACCATACTCCAGCTAGAGCAGGCAGTCGTGTCTCATTATCAGTAATCCAGTACTGTTACATGTAATCCCTCAAAGACCACTCCACCCTTTCAATCTTAGAATATGTGCAAAAGGAATGACTAAATTACTCCTCGTCCTCGAAGTCGGTGGCCTCAATGGCCATGGCGCGCTTCATCATGCGCTTGAACTGGCGGTCAGACTCAGCAACAGCGCGAGCGAGGTTGCGGCGAGCGGCGGCGGGAGTGTTGCCAGCCTGAGCCATCTGGACGGGGACGACACCACCGAAGGGACCGGCGCGAGCAGCGTTCTGGCAACGGACCAAGCAGACGTTGCTCTGGCCGGCGACGGTACCAGTGCAAGTCTGGCCAGCGGGGATCTCGGCCTTGATGGGGAAGTCGGTCATGGCACCAGCCTGTGGTTGTTAGTATCGAGTGCTTGAAGTGAGAAGAAGATGTGACTTACGCGGTTGCGGGAGTTCTGGCCGGGAACGGTGACGGGGACGTTGATGTTGGTCCAGGTGGCGCCAGTGGCATCACCGTTGATCATGCAGTCGTAGGGGCCACCGCCGTCACCGTTGACCTGGTGGACGGTCATGTCGATGGTGCCACCGGCACGGATCTGGGGAAGCTGGTCGCCAGTGGCGGCCATGATGGCCTTGGTGCCAGTCTCCAGGTCGTTGGTGCCAGCACCGACGGTCTCGCCGAAGGTGTCGGCGGCCTCACCCTTGAAGCGGGTGGAATCGGCCTGGAAGGGGTCGCGACGGGTTCCGTCACGAGGAGTGCTGAGATCAACACCGAGGGCCATACCAGTGCCACCGAGCTCGCCGGTAGCGCCGATGATAGCACCGTGGCCAGCCACCAAGTTGGCGGCGGCAAGGATAGCAGTAGCAGCGACGGTCTTGAGAGACATTTTGACTAATAGTTAAGAGATGAATGAGATGGTGCTCCTTGCCAGAGGAGTGTAAACGAGTAGTATCCTGCCGGAGGAGGTATTAGAACCGAAAGAGAGAAGAGACTGCTGAAAAGCTGAAGATGTTGATGCTGATGATGAGAAGAGATGAGAAAAGGTTGGGAGGAAATCAGTTGCTTTTGTACTCGACATTCCACGATGTTGAGTCGACACTCTACAGTATGCCCCCCCAGCACATGAAAGGCAAACTTAGCAGAATATCTCCTACGTCGCCTGCACGATGCACATACCGTCTGGTGCCTTGCAACCCTTGGAACCGACACCAGCCCCAACATCAAGCATATTGTTTAGACTGTAGAGTGGGAGAGAAAAGATGAGGCCAAACACCGGCGAGAACGACCGCATCTCGTGATGGAGACAAGTTCGAAACTGGGCCCTTTCCGATTCGGATCGTCGAAGGGAGGCTCTGTGTGGGAGCCGACAAGGGTTCGAACCTTGTTGAAGAGCCAATCGCATCGCGATCGCGTTGTCCTCCCCCCTCCTTGAAGAGGGCAGGGAGGGGAAGAAACACTGTCGCAGATCAGAAAACGTTTGTCGCACATCCCTGGTGTGCCTGGGAGGGAAGATGATGTTCCAGGATCTGCGCCACGCCCGTATTATTCCAGGGCACGGGAGAGAATAGCCCAGATCAAACACACCAGACCCGTCTCTGTCTCCCCCGTTTTGGTTGGACTAGTTTGGTTTGGTTGGTACCGCACGTTGGCGAGACAAGAGAGGCCGTGCTGAGAGTCTGTGGAAAGGCGACTCGACAGAGGTGATGCTTGCCCTGCGGCGCGATTTCAAGTCTCGAACCTGCGCTCGGCCATTGGGTACGTTCGTCCATAGTGGAAGCGTAATCGTGAGCGACTGGGAACCAAAGAATGGAGAGAGACGCAGAGATCTCTGACGGCTATCATCTCAATCTTCTGGAACAAAGGCCCCTAAAGCCCACCCCGTTGCAACTTGCTGTGTGAACTTGGACAGCGGACGATAGTGGATACGCCAACGATGAGAAGTTGAGATGTCATGTTGGGCTTAGCCATGCCCGCAGTGTCGTGCCTGACACCGGTGCTCAATGCCACTCTCTGCATATTGGTGTTTTACGGATGGAATACCGAAATGGGACAAAGGCGTATAGAAAATCACCAACGGGCTGAGAGAGGCGAAGTCCCTGCAGAACGCAGCGATGCTATGCATTACTACGTACTCTCAGCTGGGCACCGCGGGAGCTAGCGCTTAGTGCCAGGTACGCCAGGGCAAGCTTCACCACTCCCGTTTGCTTGTCTCTGCCCTTTGGCGTGCTGCCCAGTCTCATTGGTCTTCTGGGATTTAGACTTGACTCGGCTGCCCGAAGTATCCACACAAAGTAGCATTCGCACCACTCCGAATAGGTTGAAGTGGTGGGAAGGGGAAACAAGGAGGTGGCCCGCCAGGAGTACGGAGTCACGGAGGCACGAAGGCCTCCAGCTCCGGGAGGAGGCTGGGGGATTTGATCGCCGTTGACATGGCAAAGGATGCAGGAGGGGCGCATCGTTTCGCTGATCATTGTGAATCAATACTGCCAGCCGGGCACGATTCCTAGGAGACCATCGCATGAGCCGCCGGTGGTTTCCAGGACTGTCGTTGCACTGCCAGGCGTTTCTCGTTTCTGTGGATCACCCATCGACCCTGGGGGAAATCAGTTCCAGGGCCAGGCGAGGCGAATGTGGCCATGTTCACATGAACACCTTAAAGATCCGGGGGTGGCCAGGGACAATAGGTGGGCTTCATTATTGGGGAGACCTGGGCAGGGAGTATCGGTTGCCTTTTGCTCCGATGCAAGCATGGCAGTTCTAGACGTCCTGACAGGGAACGGAGGGGCAAGTTGATACAGGGGGGCCGTTGCGCTTGGATCTTGCAGACACTGCAGACACAACCATTGCCAGTACCACACACGCAGCTCACGCAGCTAGGACTCGAGAGCCTCAGCCAATCCATGGAGACCCATGGAGAAGGGGGCGCGGCTGGCTGAGTCGCCAGCTGTGATTCGTGTTGTCCGTGCTACACCGCAGCATACCTGGAACAGGAACTGGTCCACCCCGCTCGAATAGAAGCGCGGAGAAAAAATAAGCTTGGCAAAAAGAGTTGTGTCAGAAACACGATGGCGAAATCGGGTCTCTACTGGGGGGCTTGTATCCCAGGATATGATCGCATTGGAAAGCATGGGACACACAGAAGACGCCCGTTTGCTATTCTGGTTTGTGGGCAAGAGTCGCCTCTATGCCATGAGGCGCACATTCTACTGCGTAAGGTCCCACGGTCCGATCCCAGTCATTCATACTTGGACGAGCACTCGGGAGGTCCGGCTGATGCAGAAACCGAGAAGGGTCATGTCAAGATTTGATAGGTAGGAACATCGACACACTTTCAGGCAGCCTCACGGGCAATTGAGCCTTCCAAGACTTATCTTTAGTTGTGTTTAGTCGTGTGCTGTAAAGCTTGTCTACACGGAGCTTTTTTGCCGCCTTGCGTAGCACTGGCATTTGCTCAGGCCTGTTCTTGAACACTTGGATTCTTCGCCTTCTCCCGGGTCGGAGCCGAGAACCGGCTGGGCGGTCCCACTCTCTCGGCCGATTCCGTCTTCCGTGGTGGGTCTCATGTCCCGTGAGGCCCCCCCCCCCCCTAGCTAAGCCTTCACCGCAATGATTTCCCTCTTTCATAGAACCACAATGATTTGCATTCCCGCGCCCGCGATGCTTGCGTAGATCAATCATCATCTGGCAAACCAATCGCAATACAGCGCATAGTGTAAAAGGGGGGAAATCCTCAGCCACAGTAAGGCCTGGTGCGAGTCGCCAGGCCCGCTGTGCGCACGAGACCTGACGCGCCCCTGACGCCGCACGCGGGTTTGATCTTCGCTGCCAAGCTGCCAAGACACCTCAAAACTCGCCCTACCCCGAGCCATGCCTGCAGTACTCGGGTGCCAGGCGGTACATGTAGTCATGAGAATCCTATGGCCCGGTGGGATGGATGGCAAGAAGATGCGTAAAGATGCAAGGCTACTACATACGTCAGGTACAGCCAGGACTACCTACGCGAGGTTGCATCACATGCCAAGAACATACTTTACGTAGGGCAGAGAGGCATAGCAGGGGGCTAGTCATGACCACCACAGCACGGAAGAAAGCCTGTGAGGGCAACTCTCTCCGATCCTCTCGGATGGCTCCAGCTGTGAAAGCTTGTGTTTGGCGAAGTCTTCACCCAAAGTCGTTAGTCGAGAGTTCATGCATCGCCCAAGGGACGAATCGTACTCATCGTATGTTCCTCGTCATGAGTGGTTTAGCATTCTCTACAAGTGGCGGAAATGCAGGTCCACGGTTTCTATTCGTGAGGCACGTTTCTGACATTTGGAAAATTGAGATTCTTCAGCCTGTAGTCTTTGAGGTGCTCCTGAGTCAAACCTTTTCGGGAATAGACTCTCATCGATTACCTTCATCCTAATATCTGATGCTCGGCATGAGACGCCCTACTCCATCGACCGAAGTTTTTTTCAGAAGCAGGCACCAATCCTTTGACTGCGCCCATCTTAACTACGCTCGTGCCGCGAGCAGTTCGCTCACCACCGCTGAGATCTCGCCGTCTATACTTGTCGCCAACCCATCTGCCTCCAAATCCCATGGGACGGCCGTCTCAGGTCCTTTGCCCACCCTCACAAGCTTCACTCTTCCCCCGCCTCTCATGACGAGATCCTCGTTAGGCCATCTCAAGACCCCCGGCGTCGACATCCCTACGCCAAGCTCTAGGATCACTGTCGTCCTTTCCTCACGATGCACCACGTCCCGGCGGAACTGCTTCCATCTCTTCTCCCCATCTTCAAAGGGTTTCTCGTTGAACCAGTGCCCTGCCCTCACGCAGATGTTCATTTTGCTGTTGCAGAACTTGCAAAGGGGCACCTTGCTAGGTTCTGTCAATATTTGAGATACTGGGTCCAAGAACGCCTGCGCATCTGCAACTAAAGGTGCCGATGGCACTGTTGCCTCAGGTCGGCAATTTGCCAGGCATTGGAAAACCGAATACGATCCTTGAGGGGTAGAAAGTCTCTCTGGCGATAACCCGTTGGCGACAAAGAGACCATCGGCGTTAGACGTCCTCACATGCGCGTTTTCCCCAAACCTCTCAAGCCATGAAATGAGCGTTCGGTACATTCCGGATTTTGGCCAAGACGTGACCATCGCCAAGTGGGTGAAGTAGTATCCCCAGCGAACCTGCTCCGTTGGCCAGGAGTTGAAGCCAAAGACGCTGTACAGAGTTCGCAGCCCATACTTCAAGAAACCGGGAAAGTTCTTGGCAAACAGGGCCGACGAAGTGTAATCCAGCCCATCGGAAGCAGAGAGACCGGCACCGGCACTCACAATGACTGCGTCAGCCGCGTCCAACCACTGCCTTGCCCGGTCCAGCGAGTCGCACTGGATCAGCGGCGGATGATTCGCACTTGCCGGCGGAGTAAAAGTCGGCGCTGCCCGCCCCATCCATGAAGTATGCGGGGGAGAAGCCAGGATTTCCTGGTACACAGCATGATCTGCGTCCGTGAAGGTGTTGAAGATGATATCGGTGATGGACGTATCCTCGTGGTGCTCAAGCCAATCTGCGACCGCGCTGACCGCCACGGCTGCTGCATCTCGCGCCGGATAGGCAAACAAGCCGGTCGAGATGCCGCATAACGCGACAATCTTCCTGCCATCCGGCGTCGCGGGCAGCGATTCGACTGCGGCAAGAACGCTGCGATAGCATTGGGCGAGCTGCAGAGTCTCGTTTGTCGTTGGTTTTGAGCCGCGTTGCAGTTGCGGCCCGACTGTATGCACCACATGGTTCGCTGGTAGGCAGTATGCGCCTGTGACTATCGCTTCGCCCGGTCCGAGTTCACGGCCTCTTTCGTTCATGACCCGGTAGCACTCTTCCCGTAGCCGGGGGCCGGCAGCAGCGTGAATGACATTGTCTATGCAGCGGTGTGGTGGCTGGAAGCACCCGAGGCCCTGGCTGTTTGCGGCATTGGTGATTGCAGTGATGCCGGTGAGAGTCGTGATGTCACCTTGCCAGAGCGTAACTCTAACGCTCTTATGGTTCGCTCGTTTGAGTATTATTGTCGGTTGAATAGAACCGGCTAATGTCAGGACACGATGGGATGCCTGCTGCTGTAGGACCGAGTCTATCCCGATCAAAATGTCTTCCGGGAGCGGTGGGTCCGGTGTACGGACACAGAGTAATTGGTGAAGCAACTGTAGATGTGTAGGGGGGTCCAAATCGTCGAGCTGATCCTTGATATGGCGGAGATGGTGGTGATGATGGCCGTGATCGCAGTCGTCATGATCTGAGTCAACGCTCGAGTCTGCTTCGTCCAGTAGGTGGACAAGAATTTGCTGTAGACTGTCCATGCTTTGGTGTTTGTTGCAAAAGTTCTTCGATTGCTAGCAGCACCTCTTTTGAAGCAACTCCAACCACACCCGGACAAGGGGACACTAAACTCTTGTACAATTTATCTTATTCATAAGGCGACATCGATTTCAAACATGGCAAGAATCCGTTTGTGAGACTGTTCATTTTGGTTCCGATTTTGCTTGGCTTTGGTGAGCTGCCGGAAGCAATTTGCATCCGGCCCTCCACATCAAATGAGATCTATCATCGGCTTCTAGAATACTTTATGAAGTAATATACTAATCAATTTCACAACCGTGCTGACCATGGCAACGAGCCCGAAATACAGGAGATATGGGTAGACTGGAGAAAAGGCCATGTTCTTGTCAAACACACTTGCATTTGCAAGCTGCATCCGTTGACCTAATATCCGGCAAGTACATCTAAAAACCCGCATTCGTCCTCTCTCATTATTAGCAATTCTCACCGCGCACGATAACGCTCCACTTCATCTTGTCAAATGCCTGTCCTGAGGATCGCAATACGTTAGGTGAGTTCCTCTTCGCGCAGGATTGCAAGACCTTCTCAGCCCCTTGTGCAATGCCGTCGAATGTTCTCATGGTCTTTGGATTGTCGTCCTGTAAAACCTCGACTCAGCTTTGTACGTAGAGTGTCGTCTTTAATTTTGAACTCACGTCATTACACCACCAGATGGCAGTTTTGAATTCGCAAGTCATAAGAGCGCACTTCCCCCGGCCAACCTCGAGTTTAGCCCTCCTGTGCCGGATGCGTTTGAGTTCGTTGATACCATCTTTTGCGACGGCGACTGAGCCCAAGGGGTATTTATGACAGACGACATGCGAAAGATCGAACCTGTCCGGCTCCTCTAGGGCTGAGGAGGTGGTAGTAGAACCCGATTCAGGGCCCAAGACCTGCGCGTACAGAGAGCCGTAGGAGCGAAGATCCGCCAATACCTCCTGAACTGTTCCATTCAGAACGACTTTCTCGGCTCTCGGGCTGATATCATCTTGAAACTCCCATTCTGGGATGATAATCTCATACCCTTCAATAGGGGCCAGGTTGGTAGTTGCTGATCCATAAGCCTAATGTCATGTTAGTAATAAATCATGGAGTAGTCCTGGAATATTGGGCATACCAAAACGGCCAAGGAAGCAACGATGAGGGCTTGTACTTGATGGAAGCGCATTTTGATGGATTCAAACGATCGGGTGTCGAATGCAAATATCTGAAGTTGAGTCCGAAGGCTGTCTGTCAGTGTGTGAATCGTTGTAGACGGAGAGCCTAAGGTAAGCGGGATCGAGTTAAAGTGATCCATTAGAGAACCTTGAGGTCTCAATAGATATGAATGACCGCTTTTATCTGTGGAGCTGAACTTTAACATGAAGATGTGGTTGAAAATACTGAACAGACATCTTCGCATCCTTCATTGACGCTACCTCAGTGGCTGCTTGAAGCCATAGAGGTGCCGTCTTCTCGAGTGTCGGACTACCGACAGGAAAAGCTTCAAGGACACCTTGCACGCTTAAACTAGTACTTTCCTATCTTCACCCCATACCTCAAATATCTCTGTCTCATATGTATCTAGGTAAATCCGATTGCTTTAAAGGTGAACAGGTTCATATGCTCGAGCGCTGAGTGGATGTGTACTCTTCTTGTTATCTCATGATGCTATATGCGCTACAATAATACTACTATTCTCCAAGGACTATGAGGAATGTGCACTTCTCTATCCGCTACGCGATAGGCATGAAATAAGAGTTACGTGACTAAAGTCTAGAAAATCTCTTTCTCATTCTTTCTGTTCCTAAAAAAGAAAAAAGAAACCTGTTTGTTTATAAATATCATAAAAACCAAAAGATTCAAGAGCATCTTTTCGAGTATCATGAAAACTCCGCTAATGAACAAGAAAGTGCTGCATACTTCAATTCAAGAATAATAACATTCAGTCTAGTTGGGTTCGTTTTGCAATCTTATCATTGAAGTACTCAACCTAGCGATGTCCGAGGCTTCGGACCTTGACATGCCCTTGCTGCTCCCATAGCTAATGACACCATAGGTCATGAGAGTATTGCCTCGTTTACGACCAGCTCACCCAGCAAAGTGCCGCCTTCAAGTCACCCTCTGAGAAGCAGGATGCTAATTCTAAATAGAAACGAGCTCATACCCAAGACTGTGAGACATGACTTGGCACCTCCACCATCTCAGTGCCAACAGGTTCATGCCATGGCGGCTTGCCTGCGTAGTCATGGGTCTGTGGGCATTTCACCTTATGCAGTCACAGATTGATAGGCTACTGCGTGACCGTAGACGCTATTATGAATAATAGGAGGTTTTGATCAGCAATTGAAGATGTACTGAGACCAAATTTGAAACATGCACTTGCGATCAGGGCGGAGGCTAGGGCATGTTTCATTGCTCTTGTCACCTTGCTTCAGTAAAAGCTTTCCAGACTTGCATCCAATGTCCTTCAGAAATAGAAAGAATGCGTGATTGTTCTGACGGTAAAGTACCTCAGTCCTCACCTCAATAGCTGCCTCAGTCATCATTCTATTGTTTGGTCGGAATGCCGCTATCGTGTTTCTGCTTGTGCACTTGGGGTATCCCTTTCTACGAAACTTGAAAGCGATACCTCGCAATTCAATGAGATAATAGGCGCCAATCCGACTTTGAGAGAAAAATAATGATGGGATTCAGCTATCTAGCTCGGCGCCATCGTAAGGTGATATCATGCATCCGAATTCGTTTCTGGCATGGTCATTCGCTCAGCCGCACAAGTCATTAAAAGTCTCAGCTGAGTTGAACCCGCATTAGCACTTGATCTAAAGAGAGGCCATAGATGCATTTAGTTAGCTATTTCACGAGCGAAAACCCCTGTGCGGCATTCTTCGTCCACCGATCTGCTAGGACGTACTTACTATCTAGTTACATAATTACGGACGTTCCTGCCACGAGCTCAGTTTAACCAAGGATGATGAATCCAACTGCTCAGCATTATTAGACAATTCTATATTGAATTGGGAAGGACTTTTGGTATCTTATAATATGGAGGTAGAGCTCCCTCGTCCGTGAGCTATATCCCCTCTCGCATGCAATGGGCGCGTTTCCTCCCTTTTGAATCTCAACTGACAGCAATCAGCACCGCAATTGACAACATTTTCGTATACCTCCAAAGACACTACAAGTACCTACGTGGTTGCCAAGTACAATCAAGACGGTGGGTGGGAGCCCTGGCTACAAAGTGAGCTCGTCGACTATATCAAGGCGAATGGTATTGGAACGCAGCGTTATGCCGAGAGAGAAGAGTATATATGGGGCGCCCCCTACGCTGCCGATAAGGTAGACATTCTGACGAGCTATCAAATTGAAGACCAAAGTCGTATTGAGGTCATCGAGCTCAAATGCGCGTCAACCCGCCAGGATTAAAAGCCAGGAAACTTGGCGCAGCGGATGCAGGCAGACATCACGTGAAAAGGTTGGTGAAGGCGGATCAGCAGCTCATGTATGGCGTGTCCATCGGGATTACGCTAGACAAATCGTCTGCTCAGGCTACTGAGGAGGCCCTGCTGAATTTCCCTGGTGAGGGCCTTATTTCGTGATGGTGTTGGGGTCCCAAAGGGGGCAGTGCCGTGGGCAAAACAATTACCGTTTGGTCGTATTGGCTCTATCAATGGAGATGAATGAGAGAATACCTGTCTCAATTTGGTAGGACGGGTAATTACTAGTAGTCAACAACGCTGGCAGATGACTTGAGAACACTAATGATATCGAGCATGTGGTGTGACGTTTAGCAATAATGTATATCGGACATTTCTCCAATGGAAAATAGAAAAACGGCCTTCAATTGCAATTATCAACTTGTCCACAATTTGTGCGTTTGCTGATCTTTCCAATAAACAGAAGCAGTACACCGAAGAAACTCACGAGGAGTTAGGTCTCGATCAGTACTAAGGACTCGACAATGCCTTCCACTAACACCCCAATCCTAATACTAAGGTGTCTATCAGCTAGGGCCTGGGTAAGAATAGCGGGAGCGCGAACTAGCGCAAGTTTGAGCATTGTGGGCTCCTATGGTACCCGTAATTTGAGTTGCTTCGGTAAGCGAGAAGCAGACTCTAGTGCCAAGTTTGCACCTTCGGCAACGCAGAAAGCACCCGCTTCCGTGCAATTCCCATCCCACATAAATCGTTCAGCTGGCCACAATTGCAGTGGATCCAGACTCTGGGCTATGTTGCTTCTGGACCTACTTAGCGCAGCTTGCCTAGCTTGTCTTGATAATCACACAGTCTGAGACAATGGCAGTTCAGCTTTGCAGCGCAGCCACCGGGTTGGACAAACAAATCCATATGACAGCAATCAAATTTCTGGATTAGGCACAATGGCCGACCACTATAACCACTTCACACTGCCACGCCGCCGAGCCTATGCTCATTTGCATCGCCTGAGGAGACTCAGACGGACATACCCATCTATTCTATTGAGACGAGGATGTATGCCATCAGAACGCCAGGTGGAACCACCGCGAGCTATTATTTCCTTGGTTTCTAGCTGAGAATGCCGCCACATTCGCTGAATTCGCCTTATGCGGTGATAATGAATGCTCATTTCTGATAGGATTTTAGTAATGTGTCAAGCTAATGGCGTTGGGAGACTTTCAATCACACCTGAGGTGGCGTTGGTTCCTTGCTCCTTGCATTATAAGCAGCAGGTGGCACGGAGTCCTGTATCCAGGTAGCATACAGCTACGGGACAATAGTCCAGACTCTTCTGAAAACGGCATCAATATCTCGTTTACAGTCAAACCGTTCACAGTCAAATAGTTCGATTGCTTCGAAACACCTGATTCGTCTGAAACCGAGAATGCGTGCCCACCGCACACTATGAGTTCTAGACATTTTTGAAGACCGGTGTTTATGCGTTTATGACTACCTAGTAGGGTTCTCTTAGCTCGCCACAGGATGTTCAGAGACTTTAACCAGATCTATATAATCTTTTCTATCCGCCCTGATAGTCATTGCAATATCACCAAGCAGTCAGTTTACTTCAAAGGCCATTACAAGTTGTAGATTCAAGCACCTCACAAGTACTTGTTACTCTCTACAGCCATTGAAACTCGAACAACCCTCTGCACCATTCACACTTTCATACTAAACAACACTTCGACTTCGAATCATTCAATATGGGTGCCGGCGCGTATCTTCAAATTCTCAATGGTACACCGTACACTTTTACTAATACTGCTCCTGGTCATGATGGATACCAGATGAACAAATGGGACCCAGGTGCTTCAATCTCTCCAGGTACGTAACGTCGCTTCTTGGTTGTTTAGAATCCAAATATGCGGCGAACATCCCAACTGATTAATGACAGGGACTACCGATTTTTCTTACTTTGAGTTTAAAGAAACTATTGGCGTTACAGAAAGCGACACACAAGTCACTAGCACTTATACAGTCGGTGATACGGGGTACTCTTTCAGCATTCGAGCAAATGATGACCCTCCGAGATTGCTTGCCAGGATCGATGGGTTTTCGACTCCCACGATGCTAGAAGGTGAATGGCTCACACTCGGCTTTGTGCATAACGGTAGCAACCCTTTCGTGCTTATCGGCACTATCAACAACATGTTATCCTCATTTTCACAGCCCGACTGGATGCATCAAAACTTGGCTACATTGGGTACCTTACGCTTGAAGCAAATCTGTATGCCAGGAAGTCATGATGCTGGCATGGGTGTTCTTAACCCAGTTGGTGTTGTTCAAGAGGGCAGTGCCACCGTGGCTGGTGGTCTCATTAAGGCCCAATCAACCACTATTTACCAACAGCTCGTGAACGGGTCCAGGTATCTTGACGTCAGGCCGGTTATGGCTGGGGAAGGTGACTTCAGAGCCGGTCACTTCACTTCGATTTCGACTTTTGGTGAGCTCGGATGTTTAGGTCAAAGCATGAGCGATATTATTGCCGACATCAACAAATTCACTGACGAGTATGCCGAGCTGATTATTTTGGACCTTTCGCATGGTTACGATTCAACGAACGATTTTGCCGACCTGTCAGTCGGCCAGTGGTCCACACTGTTCACTCAGCTGACCAAGGATTTGCTTAATCTCGCGTTGATCAACGCAGACTACAAAACAGGAGTGGTATTCAACAATACTTTGAACTCGTTCATTGGAAATGGAACGGCCTCTGTGTTAGTCTGCCTTGATGTGGACAACATCTTACCTGACTCCTCATTCCAGGGGAAGGGCATCTTTTCCCAAGCAAACTTACTCACGTACAACGTGTATTCCGACACTACGGATGTGGATAAGATGAATCAAGATCAGCTTTCAAAGCTTGAGAACTATCAGAAAGACACGACTGGCCAAGTCATCGATCAGCTTCATCTTGTGTCATGGACCTTGACGCCATCAAGCCTCACCGATCCTACCATACAGGAACTTGCTGGCAAAGCAAGTATACCCTTGTCCCAAAACCTCCTCTGGGCTTGCACGCAGTCGGCTTTTCCTAACGTCATCCTGGTGGATTGGGTTGAGAATACCAACACGACCGCGCTAGCTATGGCTATCAACAAAAAGGTTTACGGGAACGTCTCTCCGAATCCTCCCGCTCCCACCCAGCGATATGTCTCAGCTCTCACAGTCCAGGCGTCCAACGACTCGAGTTTCTTCCCGCCTGGCACTTGCGTGGACGAGAGTGGAGATCTGGGTAGCCCAGATTGTAACAATAGTTTCGGTGGAGAGTATACTTACGTCGTAAAATCATCTACAACGGACCCATCCCAAGCCATCACTGGATTAAGCATTGAGATCACTGGCGATAGCGATCCGGCACTCGGAGGGGACTTGGCTAAAGGAGCTGGCGGCGACTTCCGGTATGTGGTCACTTCGCAAGATTTGACCTTACCTACCAGGATCAGTGAAGTACAGCTATGGAGATCTCCCGACGACTCTGTTTCTCTCGCTGATGCGATCAATGCTGGATGGGACGGAATAAGTACAGATATCAATCATGGAAGAAGTGGCGCGTACCTGTATCTTGTTTGGAAAGATGTTCAGGCCTGAATGCGACTCATGTCGAAGAGTACTATAGCTAGGGGTTTTTCATCGGTTAGCCCGATTTTCCCCTGGTCAGTTTTCATGTAATGTTTTACTTTTCGTGCTTAAAACAGTAGGAGTCAAATCAACTTATCTGAATTTGCTACGAAGAGGACTATTACAATCCATATACGTATATGTGTACATTCTCATTGTCCGACCGATTGTCAGTCAAAGAGGGAATTCGCTACCATTCATTGGCTCATACCCCTACTCATGCCTCCTTTAATGAATGAGATCAGTAATATAAATACATGTAGGGACCGGGTTGACCATAAACGTCTTGTTCGAATTTTAGTCGTAGGCCAAAGCTATAATCTTTTTCTAAAAACACCTTTTATCCGGTAGGCTTAGGCTTAGAACTTAATTTTCTTTAGGTGTCGTCTACTATAAGATACTAGTACAGCCGCCACCCATCCAAGCCATTCGTATCGTTATAAACAGTCAAGTCGAAGTAGTGTACTTGTCGTTGTCCACCTCGGCCAAAGTTCTCCGACGTGATGTTGAGCAAAGTAGCCGAAGTAGTCGAAGACGTCAAATTTGTCAAGCCAGGGAAGGCAGCCTCTATCATGCTCGAAATTTCCCGCGGGGTGTAAAAGTCGGGACCCTTGGCTTCGATGTTCTTCTGGAAGAAAGAAACATAATCTCTTGTATGATCGACATCGGCGAGCGCGCTGAAGGTATCGGACGATAGCGCGTGCCCAGGTATGACAAGACTAGGTCTGAGGCCCGTGATGAAGTCGAGAGTCGTGAGCCAAGACTCTGTGAGGGCGGGCGTAAGGAGGTCGGCGAGCCAGGCATGCATCTGGTGGCCGTAGACGACGTCACCTGCGATGAGTGTCTTGATAGACGGAATCCAGAACGAAGATAGATCAATAGTATCGCCGCCAATGTTCTTGAGTATTTCGATCGGGCACTTTTCGTCGCCTGGAAGGGTGAAGAAGGAGAAGTTGTAGGCAGTCGGAATCGCGGGGACGGGAGCAATAATGCCGGGGCCATAAGCGGCAGACCAGAATTCAGTCTAGAACTCTGTTATGAGCATTGCTTGCCGAAATTCAAACAGGAATGCTTACTTTGTTGATAGCCTCTTTCTGGATCCCATGCACCGTCTCTGGCGTGGCGTAGTGCTTGGCCTCGGGAAAGTG